GGAAGCACGAGGATCAGGATTTTCCCCACATAGAACTCACACTACAATTCTCTCTGCCAATTCTACATGAAATAAAAATGTTGCAACCGTCACTGCGTTTTAGAAGCTCACTGGACAAAGAGGCTTGAGAGATGTTCGAGGTTTACAGCTTCATCCCATTGCACTCCGTGATGATGTTTCAGGTGATCGTTTAAATATGTGGGGATTTCCTGGGGAGCAGAGCGTTGCGTTTCCACGCGCAGTGTGTGTCTTTGACTCATTGAGATTCTATGATTGGAAGTTAGAAAAAACATGACCTTTTATCATGGAGGAGAACAATTTTGCCAGAACTGAGGTTAGGTACATTTGTCAATTCAATGATTTTTTTTTCTGCACTGCGCTGTGCGAGCATCACAATGTCCCTCCACCAACAGCAGAGAGTGGCTTGTACTTTGATAAAAAAAAAAAAGAATAGGACCCTAGTTTTTTTGAAAACTAAAGATAGATTTGCACATAATTAACTGTGGAGCTCCATGTACAAGAGAGACAGACACAGAGGAGAACAACAAGCCCTGGGGGAATTGTGGCAGAAGTTAAAAATGTTAATTGGCGTGATAAGCAAGGGTGAGGCAGCAGAGGGAAGGGGAAGGAAGCAGAGCGGCAGACGAGATAGACAATGCTGTGAGGAAAGCCGGTGCAAAGGAGGAAGAGGGGGGGGGGGGGGCACCAAGATCCATGTAGTTGAAAACTAATACAAACACAGATAGAGTGCAGAACATGAACGGGAGAATGAGGGGGAGTTCCTGGGGGGTTTTACCACTATCCGGGACCCCTCTCCACCCCCACCGCCAACCCTCAGCCAGATAGACAGTCACACAAAAGTACACACATTACACAAAACCCCAGAGGGTCTATTGTTAAGCAACAATAAGTCAATAACAGACAGGAGATGAGGGGAGGCAGCGAGAGACTGTACAGCCAAACGTTGCCATCTAGTGTCAGTCAAACCAGGCCACAGGTTCCCTCTGATAATCACCCTCAACTCAGCTGTCTCTCTTTCCCTCTCTCCTTTCAGTCACAAATCCTCCATGTTTGCCACTCTCAGACTCTTCTTGTGTTTGCTTGCTTGCTTGCTTCTCTCCCTCAGCCCTCCTCACTCTGTTTTTTGACACAGGGTGATGTCTTGCCTCGTGGATCCAGCGGGGGTTGAGTTTGAATGAAGCGACCACTTATTGTACAACGGGTCCAACCCCGTATCTTGTTTTGTTCTGCGGCGGTCAGGTCGGGAAGATGCTTCTGGGGCAAGGAGGAATCTCACTAGAACTAGATTGTGATCTGTGGTTTAGAACTAGCCGCTCACTTTGTGACAACTAAACGTCGTCACAGTGAGCCGCGGGAATGGAGCTCGAGTAGGATTTGGACGAGCGCCCACCCCCTCTCCACCCCCACACACCGCCAGAAAGAAGACGGGACTTTCATCGGATGCTTACACACTCCCAGCGAGGTGTATACAAAACTGTCAACGAACAGTTGACTGCCGTGAATATTTATGCTAAATGGTCGCTAGCATTCCGCAGGTGCCTGGACGTGCCACGCAGAACACAAACCGCTCCTCCCCTCTGACCTCTTCAGAAAAACAACTCGGGGAAGATGTCAGATTCCTTTCCTCCCCTCCGCGGCACCTTCGCGGTCTTTCAGGAAAAGCTTCACCTACCATCTAACAGACCTGTTAAATTATAAGTTCAATTAATGCGAGGGCCGATACGACCACTGCAAAGGACATTAGAATGATATAAATGAAATCCACACGATTCGACCAAACCTGGTCAGATTTCACCAGCTGTTGAATCTGCTGATTGGACGTCTTTGCTTTTCCAGGACCAACTTGGCGTTTACAGCACAGTGTGGCACTAATCTGGATCATTGAGAAAAGACCGACACACAAAAACTGCTTCTCTGGCCAAAGCTCACCACAGCCTTTTTCAATTGCGTGCCAAGCAGAGATTACTCCATCATGAATGTTTGATTGACGATAACGTTGCGGAGAAATGACTGAAAACATGTAAGAATGACTATCATTTCACAGGCATGAAAAGGGGTCAAGGGTGAAAAAGGTGAGAAGGATATTACCCCTCTAGGGCAGGGGTTTTCAACTGGTTTTGTCCCAGGGATCATTTTTTGCGCATCGACGAGGGGGGGATGGGAATTGACAACAACTAATAGGGAACAAGTCACTCGTTATGCATTATATTGCATTGCATATAATGTGTGCTGGTCAACTAGTCTAAAATTAATTTTAGACACATGTTTGCATAGTTTAGAGTGACAAATCGTACTAGCGTACTTTAAAGTCAAAATGCGTATCAGTTTAGCACGTCTGCTTATTGATCCACAACGGTGGACCACTTTACCTCCTGCCTCGTCAGTCCCCTCACCTCAAAATCTACCTTCTCAAAAACGCTCGCGTTAGCTAATAACTTTCCACCGTAGCTTTAGCTAGCTGGCCAACGTCGCGTTCTCTCCTGCTGTGTTAAATGACTCAATTCATCAAGCTGTAGCTAATGTTAGCCAAGTCTATGTCAACAAAGCTCCTGGGTAACTTAACTTAGATAGACCGAAAATATTAAAATTATTGAAACCATCACTCACCCTGTTCGCAATTCACTGAATCTCGCGCTCCTTTCTGGTACGCGCACCTGTTCGCAGTTCACTAAATATGAATACCAACCCCCCCCCCCCAAAAAAACTCATCGAATCTACACGATTCACGTAGGTCACCTATTTTGGTTTCAAAATGGCGAATTTAGCCGATAGGTGAGGGATTTTCATGCCTGATTTCAGAACGAAATTCAGGGCGAAAGTCGGAAACAAGTGTTACCCTGAGCGTCGCGGTCAGAGCGATCCCCTTTAGACAGAGCTCGTCCTAGCGGGACATGAAAGCAGTCTGACACACCGGCCCCATTGATGCAGCCAGACCTGGAAGCAGTCTGATACTTTTGTACTGCTGTTTCTGTCACCCCCCTACCTGCACCACCACCACCCTTTTTGCCACCCTCACAGCCACACACACACACACACACACACACAGTAACACACAGAAACACAAACATCCCCCCCCTCTTCCCCTTCCCACTGATCGCTTTGTCCCGTCTCTGGACCTCCCTGCTCTGGCAAGACTCCATCATACCCTTAGTCACCCCCCCAACCCCTCTTGTGTGATCCTTCTCTCACTCTCACACACACACACACACACACACACACACACACACACACACACTTTCCCCACACACGGTGCACATTTCACACCAGCAGACGCTATCTCTGCCCCCCGTTACCGGGGTCCCCCGTAAGCCGCAGGAAAGTGGCTGTCACGGAACCCCTCTAACGGGAGGCCTCCCTTCAACCACAGACAAAGAGCTCGGAATGAGAGAGCGAGAGAGAGAGAGAGAGAGAGAGAGAGAGAGAGCATTACTGCTGCAATATTAGCTGATGGAGGGAGCATGGGAGAGAGGCGAGAGAGGGGAGAGAGGCAAGGGTAGAGCCGGGGGACCGCGGTGTGAGCATCGATCCACAGAACACCCTCCTACATGTGGAGTCAATTAGGAACAATTTTGTTTTCTACCCACTGCTGCAAAAGAAAGGAGGGTTTTCTGGGGCTGTGTGTGTGTGTGTGTGTGTGTGTGTGTGTGTGTGTGTGTGTGTGTGTGTGTGTGTGTGTGTGTGTGTGTGTGTGTGTGTGTGTGTGTGTGTGAGAGAGAGTTTGTGTGAGTGCGTACACAAGCGAGAGAGAGTGAGGTAGGAAAGAGTTGAGCGAGAGAATGTTTTTTCCAAAGACCTGTCGGAGAAATAGGCTGTGTATTCGGCTTCTTATCGAGCTGTTTTTAAGCACAAAAACGGGGGGGTTGCGACTACGGAGCGAATGAAACTTTACGAAAAACAGAAGTCCTCTGGTGAAGTGCATGCATGAATGATGCACACATTTCACAGATGTGTGTGTGCATGTGTGTGGGTGTACGCGGTTCTGCATCCTCACACCTATCATCGTGGTGTGCGTCTGCTGAGACGGAACCATCTCTGCCGACTCCGTTAGGAATTCCAGCCGCACACTAAATAACAAGTCTCCACGTTTAAAGATTCATGGCCGCTTCAATTATGTATCCTCTTTCAATTGTCGTGTTTAGACAATTTTCATTATTCATCCGTTTCAAGATTGACGGCTGGGTGGGCGGCGCGGCGTAAACCAGCGTCTGCACCGCTGTGGATTTGTCTGGGCAAGATTAAAATGACACAAAACAAAGGCCCAATAAAACTTTTTTTGTTTGATTTCAAAGACCAACAGACTTCAAACAGTGGCGAGCCGAGCGGAGAATGGGCCTTCCTGACCCAACCAAGCTCACCTTAAACACAGGTGTGAAGGCAACAGCTGTGATGGCGTGCGGGAGTCCGGGCTGACACACAACCACACACACACACACAGGCAAACACACACTAAGCGCACATAATTTCTCACATTCCTTCTATGGCACACAAGCGCAGAAAGGAGAGCTACACCAGATGATAAGCATATATCAATATTTCCTGTATTAAGTCTGGCATGTAACCAAAGACGACCTTTCCCCCTCAGGCCCTGCAAGAAGCCAGACTGATGCTTACTCAGGGGGCAGCCAGAGTGTGTGAGGCACACAGGAGAGAGATGGTTGGTGGGGCTGTGTGATTTGTGTGCATCTACTCATCCTGGTGCATGAGAGGATTCCCATAAGAGCACACTTGAAACAGAGGGGACAGATGAGAATGTGGAGGAACAGTACTTGTTAGAAAGTAAAAATGAGTGGAGTATGATGTTCACTTCACTTTTGTTGTACGTCCGTTCATACCCGCTGTGGGATGGTGGGGGGGGGGGGGGGTTTCTCCACTTACCGCTGTTTAACACGAGTCACTGAGATGACGCTACGCAAACACTACGCCAACCACAACAGCGTGGAAGTAGGAGGATGATAGTACGGGTGTGTGTGTCTGCTCACCAGCTGAACGTAGGCTACTTTATAGTCCGGCTGCTTAACCTTCTGGTGGAGATGATTCCTCTTCTTGTTGGAGCCTGAGAAGCACAGAACAGCAGGCATCACACTTGTTGGTAAACAGGAATGACTAAACATGAGTAAATCGCGGTTGTGAGGCAGCAGAGAGTGGGACAAAGTGATGATGCTGACATTTATGAATATGGTGAGAGTTGGCTCAGGCAATATGACAATGACATGGAGCTTTCTAATCTGCTTCTGTTACTGAGGTTGCTTTTCCATATATGGAAAGCTACCTGATGCTGTGGAGAACGCTGATTCCAAAGGTTCATTCATTCATTCATGTTTCTTACACCTTTAAACTGTTGTCATGATTATTACAATCAGAGCTGCAATCAGTTGATTAGATGCTTTATGTCATTTTTCAAGCAGAAATGCACCCATGATGGTTCAGCAGCAGTGTGAACATGCAGCTTTGCTACTATTAATGGCCTTAGAATACATTTTGAGTTATGGAGTTTTAACTTTTGGTTGAATGAAAACGTTTGATGATGTCATCTAGGTGTCCAGATAATAGTTTTGTCATTGTTTTCCAATATTATTAAACACACTATCCTGACTATAATCTCTATCGGTGCAATTATCACATCATGTTTCATCTGAGTAGGGAAAAACAGACACTTCACGATTCACTTGTGTTGATTTCCCTGTAGAACAGAGAATGTTTTGTGTGTGTGTGTGTGTGTGTGTGTGTGTGCGCGTGTGTGTGTGTGTGTGTGTGCGTGCGTGCGTGCATGAGATTAAGCAGAGCTTGATCTTGTTGACTGCAGGTTAACCTCTTCCCCAGCTGGAGATGATGATGACATCACCTTCTCTCCTGTCAGACCGCTCCATGTCTGGAAGACGGGGGACTCAAGGAGCTGCTGTGTGTGCGTGAGTGTAGGCGGGCTGGGAGTCTGTCTTTAAATAAATCTAAAGCTAATTTTACTAAACTTAAGAAAGCACGTTACAGCGATGGTCACTCAACACGGCATCCAACGTATCATCTCTGCGTTTGAGACCCAGGTGTTCAAGTCAACAGGCCCGCTGTGTAACCATAGGAACAGTTTATGATATGAAAAACAAGGGAAACATACCTCTGTAATGAGTCATTTGTGTGTGTTGTGTGTCTGTGTGCTGTATATGCAGCTAGTAATCACTAGCCAGGCAGCCCAATGCTTAGAGAAAGCCCTGAGCAGGGTTGTAAAACGGCCCCCCTTCACACTCCCCTGGCTAACAGGAGGCCCATGTGTGGGTGGGAGACAAAGGTAATGAAGAGTATGTGTGTGTGTTCCTGATTTCTGAGGAAATCCACAGGCAACTGTTACAACCTTTGAAAAAGCAAGGTAAGACTCTGAACTGCCTCTAGATATGCACACAACACAGTCACACACACACACACACACACCGAGAAGTCTTCTCCAAACTCACATGATGGGCCTTTCCTAACACACACAGACACACAGACAGAGCTTTCATGCTACACTTGCAAACGCAAGCACAATTTCTCCCATTTTGAGATTGCGGTTTGGCAGCTGGCTATCACATTACAAATCCCAGGCCGAAGGGGTAACCATGGAAACTCCTTCCAAAATACCCCCGCCGCCCATGGAGAGAAGGAAGGGTCGTTTCGCTCTCTCCTTTGCATGCTGCCGTTTTTATGCTGCCAATGGAGTGGAACTCCTGACGCAGGCAGGGATACCTTCACTGACGCACCTGTAGAACCGCGGGGGCCCCTGAGCCTCTCTGTCCCCCCACAGTTCACTGGTTTCCTTCCACACAGCCACTGAAGGGGCTTTCCCTTTCCCTGGCTTTTAATGATACAACTGTAATAAACAGCCTTTATGGGTCCTCCAAACTGTGGGCTAGGCTAAGCTAGGTTCCTCTCTCCTCCCTCCCTCCCTCCCTTTCCTTCCCCCTATCTCCTCCAGAGGTAGAGGGGGCTCCTCATGGCCCTTCAGGCGCAGCACAGAAGGAGCTTGTACACTTCTCTGCACATCCATCAACGCCTCTCCAAAATTAATTATACCTATATGCCCCCAACTACTTCTTCAACTCGCAACATCTTGGACTAGGAAGGACCTCAACATCAGTCATTGCTAACTGAAGAGGCATAGTAAGTCAATGATATAACACTGGTGGCTCTGTGATCATCCTTGACAAGGGGTCATAGGTCTTTGGGGTGGGGGGGGGGGTGGAGGGGGATGCAGCACTTGGAGTGAATAACTTGGTGCTTGTGTGGTGCGAGCTGTAGTGTCCTGGGACAACTGGAGGCTGGAATGCTACTGATCAGGTTATCAGATAAGCAGCTGTGTGCATTAGGTGGGGAAAGGAGAACCAGGCACGCCAACAACTACGGCGAGGGGCCCCTGGAAAACCCTCCCGCTGCTGCGCGTCAATGGGAAGACCCAGGCGATGACCATTGTATCCAGCAATGCTTTTGTTAGACAGTAAGTATCACTTAGCATGTGGATGGACAGTGATAGAGGGATTATGCTTCTGGATTAGTTTCAGATATTTGAATTGATGCTTTTATTTTCTAATAGGAAAAGTTTTCACCGTTGACTACCCACCAAAATGAAGCACAGATATTTATAACCTCTGACAGACAACTCTCATATACTGCAAAGACACCTTTTATTTTAGACTGGGCTTCACGGTTTGACGAAACACAAAAGTACATATATAAGTACAATATACTCACCAAACTGGATCCTGGTGCGGATCGCTCCTACGGGGACGTCGTAGATCTTCTCCAGGTAGTTCTTTACGTCATACTTGGTCATTCTGTCCAAGGGGGGAGAAGGAGAGAAGCGGTTAAACGAGCCATCCGGCATCTGTATTCGCACGGCTGGCGGTTTGAGTGAGAGTACATGCTTTGAGTGAGGTTGCATGCTGGATCACTGTCCATCAATTAATACCACGTTCACGTAATTGACACCTACATAAGATTGATAGTCTATTTGCACACTACGTTCCCATAAGCCCGGCTGTTATCTTACCTAGTGTAACGGACAGGACACTCCCCTACTGTACAAACCTATATTCAGCTTTTATTCCTCCGGACCATTACGCAGAGAGAAGAGAAAGAGAATGTGAGTGTCCGTGTTCATCCAATTTGCGTCTGCAGGTATTGATTGCATCAGTGAACCCTACACAGGAAGTGGACCTGGCACCAACTGATCCGGTGGCCAGCCCAGCTAAAGTTCACCCGCTGGGCGGCATTTGGAATGGGATGCTTCGAACAGAGGAAGAAAGGCTTTTAACTGCGAATCAATCCAACCAATTGGGTTAGCCTTGTAGAGAGCACTTCCCAAATGCGTCCGATAAAGTGCTTAATAGCGACGCAGTGGTTTGACAGGAGTGCCTTGGATATGCCGTCTTCTATCACCTCATTTGTTTACAGGATAATGTAATACTTTCTATTTGCTCCGAGGAAATAGCACAACACCTAGAGCTGCTGTAACATATAGCTGAAGCAAACATTTGCATGAGAAAATCTGTGAACACAAAAACCTCCTTGTGCCCGAGGATGATGCAATATATGTTTCTATTCAGTATAAACAATTCTACACGGCCTCCATAATACGGCAAACGTTGGCGATGTCAGACACAGTGGTGGTCTAGGGCTACGGAGGGGCGGGGTCGGCATGGCAAGGCAATTTTATTTGTATAGCGCTTTTCATACACAAGGCAGACTCAAAGTGCTTCACATCATAACATTCATACAATAAAGTGAAATAAAATGTAGGAATTAAAAGACAATTAAAACAGCAAATAAAATTATAAATTAAAATCTTATTTAAATTGTTTAATTAAAAGCAGAGGTTAAAAGTGCAATGTAGGTAACAGGTTGCATGATAGATGAAAGCTGTACACAAACGTATTAAGGTCCAGTTTGAGAAAGAAAAATCTCCTGTTACCCTTCAGAAACAGAGAAATGGGTTTTATATGTCGCATGCAGATGCGCCTTTCTGCTCCATTTGCACCCGCCTCAGCCCACAGCCCCCCGCACTCCCCCCATCCCATCTCACAGTGTGTGTGTGTGTGTGTGTGTGTGTGTGTGTGTGTGTGTGCGCTGGAAGGCAGTGAAGCAGAGCAGCCTGACGGGGGCCACTTGAGAGAAAGAGAGAGAGAGAGAGAGAGAGTGATAGCGCTTTGGACAGGTTTTCCTAGAAAGCTGGGCGGTAACTGGAGGAAAGGGAAGTGGTTCGGGGACGGCAAGGTCTCGTCTGGATCATTAGCAGAGTGAACACCGATCCTGATTAATGGGAAAATCTAAATCCTAGGGCTTTTAACGCTGAAATTATCCAGTCACCACAACCAAAGAGACATATGAAATGCACAGCAAGCGGTCATGTTACCTGCACAAGACGCCTGTGCACGCACGCTTAATGGGCTGGTGTTCATGCAAATATACGGGGGGGCAACTTAATCACCAACTCACTCACACACACCGGACACTATGATATGAAATGATAACAAAACATTTGAAAAAAAAGACAGGGCACCATATCATACACAGAGAGAGAGAGTAGTAATGAATACTGAGAGAGAGATTGTGAAGCCTAAATCCGATGTTGACCTTCACAACAACAGCACAACAAGCAAAAAAAAGAACTAGAACGCATATCCGATTCCTGGGATTTACAGGCGGTGTGGTCGGCCCAAAAGAGAGACCCGTGGTCGAGTTAGGGCTGAGCGGTACACCCGATTCAACCATATAAGATTCCCTTACAAATAGGAGCTTTCCCATGTACGGTCATACCGGTGGTGTAGCCGTAACAGCTAAAGTTTCTCCCTCGGCAAGTGGCAGAATTTATTTTTTACACAGCGCCCGTCACCTGAACAATGCGAAATAAATACCGTGATATGGTCAGAATCTTACAAAATACTGTGATGGGAATTTTTGGCCACACTGTGACACTTGGATATATCTCTATATCCTATATCTGTAGTGTATGAACACTATAAATAGGCACACACTCACAACTACATTGCGAGGGGCTGCTTTCGATGGACGTTTGTCTCTGAGGTGAGTCAAACACAGCTCACAGTTCAGCTAAAACTAGAATACAGTGAGATGACATGGGTGAAAGTTGAGGAAAAATGTCATGTTAATTGTACATAACAGGCTAACTTGGACAAAACGGGCGTGGTGTGTCCTGATGGTGATTCAGGCAGCGTTGGATCTCATCCATATAACATCCATCTTCTCCACAAGCTAACCTTTCCCACTTCTGCCTCACAGGAGAATGAAACCTGCCTCTGGCACTGCCAGGGCTAAAAAGGCATCGCTCCTCGGCAACTGTTGTATATTTATACACAAACACACACGCCACAAAGATTCCTCGGCCAAGATGATGAAAGAACTCCAGAAGCAAAAACCTAGAAGGGCTTCTGATGACGCAGGCGGGGCTTCAGGTTCCATTATGGTGCGTGGTTGCCGAGCCTGTACGAACAGGAACACTGGCATCATTGTTAGAAAACTACTCAAAAAGTGATTGTGCCGCAAAGGTGTCAAGGAGCTATGCAAGACCTAAATCTGATATCTGGCATTTTCAAAGAAGGTGGTCTTCGGAGGGATGCGGGCGCGGGGGAAAACCTGATGCATTTGTTTGCCCCCCCCTGCTGTTGCAGCGTGGTTTGTGAGTGACAACATGGCAGATTTGTGAATCGGCAGATTGAACCCCACACCTCCGCTGCTCTCAAAAGGAAATCCCTTCCTCTGAAACGAATCTCTGTGTCCCTGGATTCCCTGTGGTCAATGTCATGCTGAGCCGGGGGGATTTGGGGTATCAGTTCCAGCAGTTTAAGGTCCATTTACACCTGTGCACATCGGAGAAGTAGGTGAAAGAGCACGGCTGAAAAAAGTGCAAGACAAGACAGAGGCAGCTTTCCTCCGTGTTTGACAATAAGGATAGTGAATCCATTCTGAAAGCTCAGAGGACTACCGCCTGCCACTTGTCTTTTAATGCGCTGGTGCTAAAAGAACATCTGCCAAGTGAATGCACGGCGTCTTTCTTGTGCATAAAGGACATAAAGCCCTTTACAGCCACCCACTCACATGTAATACACATATCGACTGAAACACTACAGATATTTGTAAAAAGGCTGAAATCTCTTTATGAACGACGGTAAAGGAAATGAGAGCTTGTGACGTCCTTGTGGTTGAAGACAGTGATGGGAGTACCTCTGTGGCTCGTCTTTGCTCTCTCGATGTCTCAAAAGGAAACCTATTAAATAAAAAGAGAGATGAAAAAAGCCTCGGTTATGGAAAGAGATTCAAATTAAGCAAAGTTTATCTGGATGAAAAGATCTAGAATATACGTATGTATAGCTAATGTACATGTAGTGTTAGACTCAATGGCGGTGGAATGGGCAGCAAATACATAAATGTCTGTTTTGAAAAAAAGTATTGGAAATTAGTTTAGCAAAGAATCAACATTGTATTTCACCATTGTTACTACTTAAAAGTGCATGAGAACTAAACTTTAAAAAGGTATGAAACAGATAAGTGAAATGGTTATGACCTAAACATGTTGATAAAATCCCCAATGGAAGAAAAGTCAGTCAATTGGGATGTTTTAAGAAACGTATCTGCAAAATACTCATCAAAAAAGTTATTTCATCAGTTATCGCTATTGCTGTACTCAATATATGACCCACAACGTCATATGATTTAGTATGGAAGGACACGCCGGGGTTTAACAAAAACCAGTTGGCTTAGCGGTGGGAAAGTGGCTAACTGAGTAAAACGTTATGTAGCAGATGCACATAGTTTTTCACATAAGTTTCATCTTGGTCCTCGTGTGGTGAGTCACGCTTCAAAGATGGTGCGTGCGCTCCGCTGTATAAACTGAATGCCGTGCCACAGTCCCTGTAAATTAGCCAACGCTATAACAACATTTGATCTAAAGAATGCTGTTGACATGTCCTCGTTGTTTCAAGTTGCACATTACTTTGTGAAGGGATGAGTCAGTGACCATCGTGCTTCTTTGGGCTTCCATGAATCTCCTTGGAAAGGTTGCTTGTTTTTGCAACTTGACTTGGCAAACCACTAAAAAGCTTTTAATGTGGTCCTTGTTTGATAGAAACTGGGCCGCATCTACATTTCGGCCTTTCATGGTCGGCAGATCAACGTTGGGTATCACAAGGGAACGGAAAAGAAGAGGATGCAGCCACACAGGGGTGATGCAGTGCTGCAAGCTACAGGGCCCCGACGTTTGGAGGAGCCCGATCCGACACGTCATCAACTGTGGGGCCTTTTTCTTCTGTATATAATTTGCTTACGTTGCCCAAGAATTATTATTATTTTGTTTTTTTAAATGGTGACTGCCAAACCGCCATCCGGCTTGATACAGACTAGAATGTGCTGACAGCTAATACAGCAAATTATGTAATGGTTTAAGTGAAAAATACCCTCACATACAAGGCAAAAAAGGAGAGATGCATTAGTTAGTAGGAACCGGCGCACATAGGCAACCAAACAACTGCAAAGCGGTCTTAAGAGAGCAGGAGCATTCCTGAGTAACAAACAGCTGAGTATCCCTCTGATATGTTAACGCTGTGTGTTCTAATAAGCCTCTCGGATTTCATTTCATGGGAAACCTTTATCAACACACAGAGCAGAAAACATCTAAGGTTTACCAACCGGTCCACACACACACACACACAACATCAAAGTAGATTGTGTCAGAGTGGCTTAGTGGTGAGAATGAAACAGGAGAGTTGTTTTCAGATGAAAGGCAAAAGAAAGCCGCTTCTTATTGTCCGATTGCCCCATTGTCCGGTTTGGGTCGAGATACGCACACTCACTACTTTTACCCGAGACAATCAGTGCACAGAAGTGGCTCAATACGAAGTATCAAGATCATAATAGCACACTTTGTTTAGAAGGAAAACCATTAAGGAACCCGAGACTTAGGTAGAGAGAGCAGCATGAGAGCAGCGTGTGAAGGACTAGATCTGACAATGGAAAAGAAATAGATCAAAAAACAGTTCACCAGAAGTCACTTCGCCTCCTTCAGAGAGGCGGGTCGCTGAAGACTCGACAGGTGGTTACACTCCTCCACTGTCTCGCTAACTGACTTCCTATGACCCGTTGGATCAAACTCTCAACATTTGAGTGGAGGGACATTGTGACGCTGTTGTCACAACGTCGTGACAATGTGTCACGGGCTCGTTCTGATCATGTTTGAGTACAGTGAGAAAACGCAGCATCTGGTTTCACGGTCATTAGACAGCATAGCAGCAGGAAACGGGACTCAGTAGTAGACCGAACACAGTGTTCAGCGGGTTCTTTTCTCTGTGTGTGTGTGCGTGCGTGTGCGTGTGTGTGTGTGTGTGTGTGTGTGTGTGTGTGTGTGTGTGTGTATGTGTGTGTGTGTGTGTGTGTATGTGTGTGTGTGTGTGTGTGTGTGTGTGTGTCAGCACAAGGTGTGTGGGTGTGTGAGTGGGTGTAAACCCAGAAACTTGTGTTCCTTGAAGAGCGGAGAGGAAATACCAACATCGCATAAAAGGTTCAAGAACAATAAAAAACAAACAAATGTGCCCTTCCAGCAGGTAGAAAGAGGAGTATGAGAGAACACAGTCCAGGTGTCTCAAGCGCTGTGCCAAAGAGGGATTGGCCTTGGATGCGTTGCAAAGTGTTTAAGAAAAGCACAATAAACAGCGAAGCCCGGGGTGGGACGGCGAGAGACATGCACAGAAGATCAAGCGAGCCATATCGCTAACAAGCACGTCAACGCTAAACCGAGAGACAGAGACCCGCGGCCATTTATATCTGGCTCCCAGGGGCCAACGAGAGAAAAGGCCACTATGTGTTGTTCTCTTGAGAACGCCGACATTGCCACCTCTCATTTAACAGCTCCTCGGCAGTACAACTTTTCCACGCCAACGCCACCTGAGTCATAACCAGAACAGCTTTTGCTGCCGTTGTGACTCAGACTCATCAATAAGCTGGGAGTGGGAGGGCTGTTTGGTTTGTGTCGCTGTCTCTCCGTCGGTGTCCATTTAGTTCGTTGTGTGTGTGTGTGTGTGTGAAAAGTAACAAAAATAACAGTGTTTCAAGCACACGTCGAGGCCCCAGCAGCATATCAATCAGCCATGTACCTCTCCCAGGCATCAAAGACGGCGAGGAAAAAAACCCTTACACACCCTTATAAACACACGCACTCTGCACTTACCCACTTTTGTGCGTACGCACACACACACACACACACACAATTACATAAGCACCCTAGGAGTTTGGCAGAGAGGAGGCAAGAATCAGAGTGGGAGGCCAGGCACCTGGATGAACAGATTATGGTCTAAACACCACCAGAGACACATAGATGATCTTCTTCAAACTTCAATTTCTCATCCCAGTGTGCGCTCTGGCGCTCTCGTCACCCGAGGAGCAGCGCTAACCTCTGGGACCTTGGTTGGCGGAGGTAGTCCAAGTCGGACCGTTACTGCTTAGTGCGGATTTGTGATTGGCTCTTTTTTGTTGACAAAAAAACTATGATTAATAATGTTTGTTATTAACAAAGAGCAGATCACGACCAGGCTGCTTAGACGTGACACACTTCCTGTTATCAATATTCCCTGTTGATTAAGTCAACCAAAAAAAGACACCTAAAATGTGTATGTGAGTATCCTGTGCAGCACGTTCAAATCAAGCCTCCACAGTGAGCAGTCATGAGTTACCTACTTAAAACCACGGGGCTTGGGAGAAAAGGAACATGGTGGTTCTTTGGTCTGGCCTAGATTTACTGAAAAGTTCAAATAATCAAGATGAGTAAAAAGAGAAGAATTAAAATGTCAACAACTTTCCTTGACTAAAGCTATACTTATATTGTCATGGTTTTCTCTGACTAGGATAATACTAAAATGAAAAGGTTTGTTTAAAGCTTTAAGCTCTGAGACACGAGGAGTCTTTCAGCTGGAAGTAGACCAAGATGTGTCACCTTGATCATAAAAGTATGGGCTTCAATACCAAGGTGGGCCATCGCATCTAAACGATGCTCAATTGATAATAAGTGGACTGAAAAAATATCCCCTTCAGCATTATACCCCCAGCAGCCTGAGCTGTTCCCACAAGGCATGATGGTTCCATGCTTTCATGTTGTTTACGACATTTTCGGACCCAGCCATCCAATGTTTTTCCAATCTTTTATTGCCCAACTTAGGAGCACCAAGTTTTCCTCATGTTAACAAGTGGTTGTTTGAGTTACTTGCCTTTCTATATGCTCCAACTAGTCTGGCTATTCTCCTCTGACATTTGGCGTAAATGTGGTGTTTTTGCCCAGAGAAGAACCGCTCACTGCATACACCTTTTTCAAAGAAAATGTTGGACTATTCTTTGTAAACATTTGAGGCGGTTGTGCTTGAAAATCCCAGGTGATCTCCCAGGCTGCTTTTGAAATACTCAAACCAGCACGTCAGGCACAAACCAACCATACCAAGCTCCCAATCGCTTCAGACATCTTTCTTGCCCCATTCTGATGCTTGGCTTGAACTGGAGCAGATAGTCCTGGCCACACCTAAATGCATTGTTCCTGCCATGTGATTAGCGGATTAGATATCTGCGTTAACAGCATTGACACGCTGTTCAACAGGTGTACCCAGTGTTTCTCCTTCCCCTATAACACCCCCCCCTAAAAAACTACTACTACTTTTATTAATTAAATTTAATTAGTTTTTTTCCCTTCTTTTTTTATTTGTTTTTTTCTTTCGGACGGCAGTTCCGCACCAACGCGTTCGCATTTAAGTCTATGTATGCGCAAACGTGCGGCCGGAGAACACCAGCGCAGTGACTACCGCCCCCTCCTGAAGTTGTAAACCTGGGGGAGACACTGTGTACCTAATAAAGTGATCATAAAAGATCACACACACACACTCATTTAGAAGAAACAAGTGCGCTCAAAATGAGGAGGCAATAAAGTGTGATTTAGTAACTTCTATGACACAAGCTTTGGAAACCATCGGGAACATTTTGCTCTTCATTTTATGGTTATGGATACATATTGGCCTATTTACCTTGGTTTGTAAAGTTTGACGGCTTTCCATTTACAACACTCAAGTCTCCACTGTAGCACCAGATGAAAGCTTGTTTGACCTCGCCTCAGCCAAGACAAGGTGGTAAGAGCTTGCTAAGGGCCTCCGATCTCTGTTCTTGGGGCTGTCCCGCCACCTGGTGGCCATGACGCTGAGAACTCCAGTTACTTAGCACTGGTCCAACAAAACAGCTACAGTACCATTCAAAACAAATCACTGCAACCTAAATTATGAAGTAAAAAAAGCCTGTAGTAGCCTGAAATAACTTTAAAGCCAAATTAAATCACTAATAGTAAAAAATGTACAGCCCACAGAGGGAATCAGCTGCATAACTAGAGAAAAGCTTTTTTTACGAAACAGAATCATTGTATTACTCTAATGCGTCTCCAAACGATATGAGAAAAGATCTACAACAAAAGACTTACTCCATTGGGATGCGAAACTGGACCGTGTCCGGAGGCTGCTCTTTTCCGGGCCTCACTAGTGTCAGGAACCAGTTGGGTCTGAAGATCCTCAGCTGAGGGTTCCCCAACTGGTAGAGAGGGTATCTGAGGAGGGGCAGAATTGTTTCATCTCCAGTATCATTCCCAGTCAGACATCCTCTAGTTGATCCAATCCCACTAACAACTTGGAGGAGTAGACATCTAGATTTGTGTGGTAAAATCTTCGCTAGCTCTTTGTTATCATAAGTTGATAAAAGCAGAAGTATAATAATGATTTGTCAAAGGAGAGCTCCGTAATGAAAACCTGCAGGATGTGATCACTGTTTGTGGTTGGCCTTTCTAATCATACAAACCACGTGCTGTGCCTTTGATGTGATATATGTATGTTTTCCCACAATGAAAATGTCAACGCAATACCCCTCAAGTTACTTTTAACATAATACAAAGATGATGGCCAGAGGAGAAACGCATTAGCTCCCCGCTTGCACACAGTTTTCCAGAATCAGAAGTTAGAAACATTAAAATATGTATTGCCAACTTTTTTCCCCTCCTAATAAGATGTGACTGTTTGCATGTGACCTGCTCGTTTGTTTGCCCGGCGATACATGACTCTAGCTTCACTGCTCCAACCTCCAAGTAAATTAATAATTTGGTGAGAACAATGCTATTATACAAATAGAAATAATATTAATATATGCTTCAACCCTGCATCGAGCCACATGGGTTAAAGATATTGCAATAGAAGACAGTCATTGACACAGAGGCATAAAAGTTGACATAAACAGGTAATACAATATTATCAAACCAGATATTTAAATATGGGTATTGTGAATCAAATCAAGTTATATACGAGTGAATTAATTGCAATGGCAGCAATATACCAAAAGTTTTAAGTAAAAACACTGAAAGAGGATTTAACGAACTGGATGTCATGGTAACCCGCACAGTGACCGTAACGTCGCTACGACAGGACCTGCGGCTTTACGGTAGCATGTTTGTAGCACGGCTAGCTAATGCTGGGTTCGTTATAGTTGCTTAACGTCATTTTAACAGAGGTAGTGAGTACATGGAGAACTGATATAAGCACGCCAACAATGTGTATAATACGTGGGGGGAAAGCTGCCTTTTAGTCGTAATGGGCGGGCAGCTGGAAGCCTGGGACATGCTTAACTTCGGTTAGCTGGGTCTGCTAGTTTACCAATCCGACATGGAGGCGCACTGGCAACGGTTTATCTTTATCAGGGACGTCCTTTTGCATTTTTCACGCCGAGAAATGAGGAGAAAAAACACTCACAGGAGGCGTGTTACTGGCATCACTGCGGAGGCGTGTTACGGGGCAGTTGTCAGGTTAGTTGTTTTGTAGTTGTAAGGTTGTCAACGTTCACGCGTGCAGTGATGTACTTCCGGGGACACTCGCACGGCGCATGCGCAATGGATGCGCACCGTGCCCTTGAAGTAAACTTCACAAGTCTGCAGAACGGATGTACTAATGACCTGCGGCTTCGTATCACGAATTCAGAGTGCCATGCGGGTATTAATACCACACAGAGTTAACAGTTACAATAATGGGAGAAGATGATTTGTTATTAAAGACACACCTGTCAATGCTGACAAGTCAATTTGCTAAATGTTTCCCAAAATCTATTAATTCGTTCACATGTTGTCGCTTTTTCACACAATTTAAAGTTATTTGATATACACGAAGAACATGTTTTTACATGTGCAAATACAGATAATATCAAAGAATGTTTCATTGTATCACATACAAAAATAAAATAAAAGGAATGTTTCCTATATTGACCAACTCCTTTAAGAGTGGACTCCTACTTGGGAATGTCATTTCTTTTTGCCCTTTTCTTAGGGCACATATGATGAGGCAGCAGCAGAGGGAGACCTAGTCCCATCTCTCATTCACTCCCTTTGCGTCGCCATCTGACCACACAGCCACTATGACTTGCATGCAGTGATAGGAAAGGAAAGGAGTTAGTGAAGGCCCCCTGAGTGGAACATGAATCCCTGGCTCAGCTGGTTCAGACCTGGCATGAAATGGACCACACTGACAGACCACACCGCGCCAGAAGGGGAAGTTTCCATTAGTTAAGATGCCATTGAGTGTGTGTGTAAGTGTGCTTGGACGGTGCTGAAGGGCAGTCGTTTGATCATAATGCAGCATGTTTACCAGATGGAACAGGTATTTATCAGAGTGCTAGAAAATAAATGTTCACTGCCATCAGCTCCCTAATGTTGAGGCAGAGGTGGTTTTCAAAAGCTAATGGTGTAATTCACACTGCACTTTATGACTTAAGAGTAGTACAACTTAATCTTTCATGGACAAGCCAGGAATATTCTTTCACTTTCTCTAAAAAGTTTTGACAGTGCATAATGCACTTGAGTAGGTGTGGAAAAATGTCAGCCCATGCAAATTTAATATTACGTTACATTTTAGTTTAAAAATTGAGGCTGGAAGATTAAGCTGTGCATTCAAATGAATTTTTAATGGCCAATAAAGGGCAACTGTTCCAGTCGCAAAACAAAGTCATATTGTTTGACTCTACTTCTCACTTATTTAATTTTTCATTTCATCGACACTCAACACCTAATTTTTTTCTTTATTAAATAAGTAAACAAAGTTAGGAAACCCTACGGTTCCAAAGGGGCCCACAGCGTATTTATTATATGTAGTTGGTTAACCCCGTTGTGACTATGTACATAAATGTGTTTTGGTTGTAAAGACATGATTTAAAACATCCATACATTAGTAAATACCTTTGCAAAAGACAAAACACACTTTTATTCGTACATTATACATGGTTGTTTAGAAATGGGTATATCAATTAGGGATGTGTTTGAATTCCATGTCGTTTTTATTCTTTCCCATGGGCTTTGCAACTGCTGTGGGTGCAGCATCAGTAGCTGCTGTCAGGGGGTACGGGGAAGGCAGGACTCACACGCAGACTTCAAGCAACAAAAGAGGACTTAATAGTCCAAATGTTCAAAAGCAAAAAGGCCAACGGGCAAAAAGGCAGGCAGGATCTAGGAACATCCAGGACAATAGACAATGACGCAACAAGTGACAAGAGACACACCGCTTAAATACACTAGGGAGGTGCAGGTGATTGGACACAGGTGGAAACAATCAGACAATCACAGGGGATGACAGGACAAGGCAGTGAAGTTACCCAGGGAGACAAGAAGCAAAAACTACAAAATAAGGCAGGAAATAAACCACACCGTGACAGCTGCACCCAGTGCAAGGCTCAAGCCGGTGCAGCCCAGGCCCGGTGGACTGAAGGGGCCCAGCAACACAAAAAAGTGGAACCTCCGGTCTTACACGTTGATCCAACTGTGCCATTTGTGATTCAAGCCTGTTTGTTAAAGCCCACGGTTGGGCTATTTGATGGAAGAATAATAGTTAACTAAAAATCTAAATCTAATTTCACTGGTTTCCAAAATAATGCAGACCTGATTAGTGAGGTTGTAAATTGTTTTTCAAGCCCTTCTTAACCCTCTCCATTTATGGCCCTTCTGATCTGGCTGATGGGCTAAAGGTGTGGCCCATGCCAGTTGTCAATTGGTTGCATTGATTAGTGGCTCCATCAGCAATCAATTATGAATTTAATATCAGACACCCATCAATGGCCTCACTATTCTTCCAATTAAGTGTGGCTTAAAGCACACGCTGGTGTGTGTGTGTGGGAGAGAGGGAGTGAACTGAAAGGAAGGTTCAGGTCTGGGGCAGTGGAAAGTGGCTGTTTGTGTCACGTCACAAAAAGGGAGAAAGTAAGGGAGGGTTCGAACAGCAGAGGTTGATAGACGGAAGCAGTTTGGTCTACAGCAGAATTGTCCCGCCAAGAGTGGGTGCTGGGGCCACATGGAAACTTTCTCCCAGCGTCTCTCTGCAGCCGGTGGAGAAGTTGTCATTATTGAATATCCGAGAGAAGAAAAAAATGAAAGAAACAGTCAGTTGATCCAGTCAAGATCCAGACATGAAGATAGAAGAGATTACCAGTTAAAGTGAATAGTTTTGCATATAAAGGGACCATTGAAGTCCATCCTTCTATTAGGAACGGACCGTATTGACCCCTGAATCATTTCCCTGAATAGTTGCTTAGCCAAGATATGTAATTGTGATAACTAAGTTTAAATGTACAAAAACACCCATTCCAACCCAACCCACACCCATTGTGTGCAACAGTAACAGCAGGACCTCCACCTGTTGTATAGACCTACGAAGTATAGTGGATGAGAAGAGCAGACACAGGAATATTATAACATTAGTGAGAATCCAAATCACACGTCAACAGCAGTCTGTTGACGTGTGATTTGGTCACAGGCGGGTTTTCAGGCAGGATGTTTGGGCTACAAAATGTTGTGATTGTCATGAACAGCAGTCGGGGATGAGGAATAGAGCTGTGTCGGGGGAGCCAATTATCATTTTTGGCAGGAGTTGTTTATGAAACTCTTCATCCCTCAATGATGATCTGTAGCAGATGTTTCATAGAAGATTCACATGGCTTCAGGCGCGTTATCTATCAAAGTTCACTGAATAGGTTCGATCTATAATCACACGTTAGCCATCGGTCCACCACTTTGTTCCGGACCTGAATATTTTGATTTCAATTGGATAGATTGGCATGAATTTTGGAAACAAAAATTTCTGGTGTGAATGAATCTAGTTAATCTGTTGAATTACTGACTTTCCAATTGGTCCTTTCTGTGCTAGGTGTTAAAATCAGACTTTCGCTGTTGCCTCTCAACTGCTTTGATCGGCTCAGCTCAGACGTTTTTACCTCGGGGGGGGGCAACAATGCTCAGTGCAGAGCGCCAATTTGGAGCCCTTCCTTGGCTAAATGAAGAAGTCCTCCTGATACACCAAAACATAAACCATTAGCCGCTCTGACCCACACCCAATTAAACCCGTGCCCGTTGACATTGACACTAGATGAGTGGTTAGAGGTAGTGGTTAGTTCCAGTCAGATTCCTCAATTTTTCTCACGTGCCATGTTCATACTCCCTGAGCGAGCGGGTGCATGCCCCCCCCCCAAGTCCTCTATCTATTAATAGCCGCAAAGGGATCGAGTTGGATGCAATCTGGCGGGTATATTTACACCCACTCTCCTGGATGTTTCGTCTTTGTAACAGGCCTGACCTCTGAACCAGGAGTCTTGCGGTCACAAGCAGGGCTGTAGTGGAGGGTAAACGCACGTAAACGCTGTTTACGCGCCCTCTAGAATTTGGAAATAGCGTTTACGCACCTATAAGTGGCGTTTACGCACCTCAAAGTTCCCTGCGCCTTGTATTCTTCCGTTGGAATAATCCGAAATAAACTTGGTGTAATTTTAAAACAGCTAAGACTACGTTTCCTATTGTTGAACATATAAACGCCGTAGTCTGAATCATGTTCATCTGCGCTGAATTACGGTCTGTGAGCATCCAATCAGCGCCTTGCGGCTGCAGCAGCGACACCAATCAGGATCCAGGAGGTGTGTAAACACACGCTGTGGATCAGCCCAGTGGTCCCCAACCTTTCTTACCTCACGGACCGGTTTCATGTCAGACAATATTTCGCGGACCGGTCGAGAAGGTCCGACGGGGGGTAGTAGTCGTTGTGGGCGGAACGACCGACGGGAGGGGGGGTAGTAGTCGTGCGCTCTGTGTTCGCTGGTCGTGCACGGTAAAAGGACAAGAAAAACGCCTGGTGACGCGTAGATTAGAAAACAAGTCAGTTCTCAATGTGAAAAAAAACATGCTGTATAGGCTATAGGCGACATAGGTAGTACATGAGTGTTCCTTTAACTCATGTTGTCAGTGTAATTGACAGGCTGCTTAACTCTTAAATCAACATATTTGTTCAGGCAGTGATAGGACAGGCAATGATGCAGAGAGCACAGGGAGAGGAGAAACACCAGGTCCAATAGAGAGAGGAGAAGCACAGAGGAGCCATGAGTTCATGGTTCCTCTGTGCAAGGCAGGACCTGACGTGGAGGACAAGGAGGCCCTCTGGGCACTACTGTAAAAAGGAGACTCCGTATGTAGATAGTTCTTAATCTGCAATTGTGTTGTTGTGTTGTGTTGACATACTTTTCTTCACTGTTTTCATAGATTTAATGAACTACAAACTACTAACACATGTATTCATTGTCATTGATTGTATATGACTTTTACTGATAACATAATGCAATATAGCCAGGACAGCCTTACAGAGTCACGACGCTTTGTGTTGCGTTGCTTCGCATCGCGTCGAGGTCTGTATGATCACAAAATTCAGAGTTTACCCACCTCTAATTTTACCACTACAGCACTGGTCACAAGCCCATGTGAACTTCCATTTCATATGTCCAATCAAGCGTGCACACCCAAACACGTGCAAACACTCGTACATTTAGTACAGACATTCAACATCAGAAACCTTTTAAGGCAACGAGCTGTAAAAATGTGTTTTCAAAGATACTTCTTATCATACGACAATTGACCCACTGACGGACAGACAGATGGACAGTTGGTTTCCTGCAAGAATTAGTCCCATACATTCTTGAAAGTTTATTGCTAAATCACCCTCAAAGTCCTAAATGATTTTCAAATCGAGTGCATTCGGAATGGGGCGATTAGGTAGAGGGCGCTCACAGGGTCCCACAGCCTTATCCAGTGTCTCTGCCACTGCCAGAGTTATGTGATGCATTTGCATTGGGGGGGCTGCCATGCATAAACGAGGATGGGGGCAACTGATCTTCAAGGAATGTCAGCCGACACTCTGCACTGGGATATCTTGTGCACAGCTCCGCGGAAGAGACCTTAACCTACAAACATGACAACATTGTTGAAGTCATGATTGCACTTGTCTTATTTTTGGGGTCTGATAAACTTGTTGTTTGATACCAATAAAGTCATGAACACGTTTCCGTAAGAACAATGTGGAAATAAACGGATAGAGAAACTGGATTCAAATGAGTCAACAGAATGTGCACACAGTTCCGTCTATATTATGCTGTTGATATAACTCGTGTCACAATGGATGTTGACAATCCAAATGCAAATGTCTTCCACCTTCGACCAATCACACATGCCCCTGCTGGCCCTGAGGCACGCATATACAACATTCCTTCCCGCAAATTTCTATTGCACATTAGACCTTACACACCAGCCTTTTGATATACACATTGATAGAAGACAGGTGGTTCATCACACTTTGTAAACTGAGCAGAACTGTCAACACAAACTGTCTCAAAGCCATTTTAACCTCGACATGCAACCAAGTCCCCTTATGAAAGCCAAATCCTTCCACCCAAAACTAATTATTAAACACTGGAAACGTCTTGACCAGCTCGACTAATAAACGTCTATTCGTAGACGTTGAAAAGACGTCTATGTTTAGACCACATTTCAACGTGATTTTTTAATACGGTAATATTTCGTCCTCTCTTGTGTGCTATATCATTATTTTAGAGGTTTAAAAAGAAACTACGTCCACATTTGTAAGTTTACCACCGATATTATGAATCACGTTGAAAACGGGTCTATACGCGAACGTCTTTTCAACGTCTACGAATAGACGTTGAAACAACTTTCACTTTTAAACCATTTTGCAACGTCTTTTCAACGTCGGGCCATAGACGTCTTTTAAACGTCTTTTCAACCAAAAAATGCTCACTGGGATAGATTGTTTACTTATTACATTATCAACAAGATAACAATTCATCTGCAACTTATGGTATTTCTGGAGTAACATTTCCAGGTATATTACACAGTATCATGCTTTAAGCAGCAGTAATTTACAATGTGTTGTCCCTCTTGTTTACAGAGCACAACTTGTTGAATTCAGCCCTTCACCCTTGCAATCTGTATTTAGCCCCCATTGCTTTAAAACGTATTTTCAATGTGAAATGCAATAACATTTATGGGTACAGCAACAACCTAACGCATTAGTAACACCAAACACACGAAAAATATTCTGGGATGTTTACTTTTGGTCCAGGTCATCATGCTGCACGCTAGCATGCTCCAAGCTAGCATGCTAACTAGCAAACTCCCTGCGCTAACGCTAACTAGCTTAACAAAAAGGGCCGTCTTTCCCGTATCGGGTGGGCAGCACAAGTAAAACACCCGGTTATAGTTCCATGTGTGCTTCATTCAAACACTCGCGTACTTACAGAGCAGTGGAGCCGGTACTCGTGGTTCTATCAGCCCGTTCATGTCGCTCTGCTGCCGTAACTTCGCCTCGTCCGCTCGGAGCTCTGCAGGCGTCTAAGAACTCGCGCATGCGCGTTACAGATGTGAGCGGAGTTACGTGTTTACAAGTAATGTTTGAACCTGCCCGCATTATTATTCCTTAAACGCATCTTATTAATAGCACGCAGTCCGTAGTTTCATATTTATGACGTTTTAAGTGAAATATTAAATACGTTGAAATTACGTCTTCGCGTAGACCAAATTTCGCCGACCAGTTCATTAATTATTATCAAAATCTTAATGTTAATATCGTCTATCGTTCAACCTTACGTTACATCATGACACATTTGTCAACAAATTGACGTTTTCTGGCACGTTGATGTTTTATCCCATTTTTAGCCGGTTGAAAAGACGTTGAAATGAGGTCTTAGACGTTCAGACCTCATTTCAACCCGATTTCATCCATATTTCAACGTTGAAATTACGTCTTGTGCTCACTGGGAATCAGAACACACATGGCAAGAACGTTCCACTGCCAAACTTTCCATTAAAACCATATGATCGAATTTAGATAGGGCACGGCAAATGACGCTCTGCCCGTCGTCCAAACCACCGGATGCCAAGTTCCCGCAGTCTTTACGCACGGAGAGCGCACGGAGAGTTTGCAAGCACGCATGGGGATCCCTCCCACTCAGGCTGTGCGTGGCCTCCTCGCCCCGGCCGGCAGTTCCGAGACTCAGACAAACCTACCCGATCCCCTATTTCCCTCTCTCTACCTTTCCTCTGAAGAAAACACCCGGCATTACGTCAGAAAGTGCTGGGCAAGCAAGACCGCGTCTTAGGAGCTAATCGTAGGGCATTGCTGCCAAACCCGGCTTCGGGCTGCTCACGCGCTCACTGCAGCCAATGCAATTCACTAATGCAACTCTTTTAAATCAGCACAAGTATGTGGTAAGTCACTTCTTTATTTATACTGTTTTATTTCATCTCTTGGATTTTTTTTTCTTCTTCTAAAAGCTCTCCTCACATGACAAGTCACCGTTACAGGCACAATTGCGCAGCAACTACAGTGCCGGCAGTGTAACGACTGTTTTACCCCTCACCAGAAAAGACCATGACATGATGAAGCAACAAATATTTTTACGCACACAGATTTCTGCAGATTTTTTTTGTATTTGATTCTTTGCTGATCTCAAAGACAACATGCCCCACGCTCGAAATAGGAACCCTAGCCCCACCCCAGAGGTAACATGGGACACGGGGCTGAAGGAGATGAACGAGACCTGGAAAGGAGCTATTGCCTGTCTCGGGGTTGCCATCTTCTTTGTCATGACCATCGGGATCATATATTGGCAGGTGGTGGACCAGCCCAACAAGAACTGGATCCTCAGAGGGACATTTAGCGGATTGATCTGGGAGAGAAGAACCCGCTCGCTTGTCATACAGACCCTGACGGAGGACAAGACCTTTGTGGAAATAGACGTCGGAAATGTGGGGAACCCCGAAATCGAGGTTTCCTTCGTGAGGAATCTGTGCTGGTTGAATAAAACGGAGTTCTGCTATACGTGGGACTCGGTGGCCGAGGTGAAAATCTCGCTGGAGGTGGATGAGGAGACGGAGACGGAGTGTTACAGTATGACTTGGACGCCGGTGCACTGCCATGTGGAGCTGAAGGTATAGGTTTCTCTCTCAGACGCACGAAACGCACGAAATCCTAACATCTGCGTGAAAAATGGCATCTTAACTAAATGCCACTTGTACGCAGAACATTGAGTGCAAAATGTGCACTTTGAACTTTAAGCCTCAATTTGCTGTTTACTCAGTATCCATTGTTATGTGATCGTATCCCAGTGAGCACAAGACGTAATTTCAACGTTGAAATATGGTTGAAATCGGGTTGAAATGAGGTCTGAACGTCTAAGACCTCATTTCAACGTCTTTTCAACCGGCTAAAAATGGGATAAAACATCAACGTGCCAGAAAACATCAATTTGTTGATAAATGTGTCATGATGTAACGTAAGGTTGAAAGATAGACGATATTAACGTTAAGATTTTCATAATAATTAATGAACTGGTCGGCGAAATTTGGTCTACGCGAAGACGTAATTTCAACGTATTTAATATTTCACTTAAAACGTTATAAATATGAAACTACGGACTGCGTGCTGTTAATAAGATGCGTTTAAGGCATAATAATGCGGGCAGGTTCAAACATTACTTGTAAACACGTAACTCCGCTCACATCTGTAACGCGCATGCGCGAGTTCTTAGACGCCTGCAGAGCTCCGAGCGGACGAGGCGAAGTTACGGCAGCAGAGCGACATGAACGGGCTGATAGAACCACGACTACCGGCTCCACTGCTCTGTAAGTACGGGAGTGTTTGAATGAAGCACACCTGGAACTATAACCGGGTGTTTTACTTGTGCTGCCGACTCGATACGGGAAAGACGGCCCTTTTTGTTAAGCTAGTTAGCGTTAGCGCAGGTAGTTTGCTAGTTAGCATGCTAGCTTGGAGCATGCTAGCTTGCAGCATGATGACCTGGACCAAAAGTAAACATCCCAGAATATTTTTCGTGTGTTTGGTGTTACTAATGCGTTAGGTTGTTGCTGTACCCATAAATGTTATTGCATTTCACATTGAAGATACGTTTTTAAAGCAATGGGGGCTAAATACAGATTGCAAGGGTGAAGGGCTGAATTCAACAAGTTGTGCTCTGTAAACAAGAGGGACAACACATTGTAAGTTACTGCTGCTTAAAGCATGATACTGTGTAATATACCTGGAAATGTTACTCCAGAAATACCATAAGTTGCAGATTGATTGTTATCTTGTTGATAATGTAATAAGTAAACCATCTATAAATGAGTGTTCTAACACACCTGCTGCTGTTATTATTATTAGTTTATTACTGTCATCATAAACCCAAATGACCAACTTTGCCTTTGTGCTTCCCACCTCACAGGTTTCTGCGGGTGGTGGTTGCATCTGATGGAGGTTACGTCTGATGATGGTTGTCCCTGCACTGGTCCTGCATTACCCCTGGCTTAGTAATCCACAATATTAGAATCATTTCTGTCGTAGGAATTTGATGTACTGTACATCTTTAAATTGTTCATACTCTACACACCTACTGCCTTGCTGTTTTCTCCTCAGGTTTGTCCCGGTTGAAGGTTTTTTACATTTTGGGGGTTTTAGGACAGGATGTTGCATGTTTACAGATTGCAAAGCTGAACAAAATAAAATGATTTGAATTGAATAAACACGTTGACCAGAGAAATCTGCAATTGAGGGCTGTTCTCTGCACTCTGACTCCCTTTACACAAAGAATCCTCAAGTGAGGATGACGGAGATGCAGCTGATTTCAGGTATACTATCCCAACTCAAGTGACTCACAGCCACATCTTGTTACAGAATCTAAAAATGAAGTTCAAATGATTCAGAAAAATGGTCTACAAACACAGAATTGTTGTTGTTGAACACAGAAATGTTGTTTCTGCACTTTTAAATCCATAGTTAATTTCCCTGAAATATATATTTTATTTTTGTATTTTTAATTAGGAAAAGTGTTATATGTATAGTGTTATATTTATAATAAATGCAAATTAATAAAATAATGTGTTTGTCCTTGTTAAGGGATGTTAACATGACAACTGTGACTAAGTATGTAACTTGTACGTTTCCAGCGAGCAATTTATCCGTTGAAACAACGTTTAAAAGACGTCTATGGCCCGACGTTGAAAAGACGTTGCAAATTGGTTCAAAAGTGAAAGTTGTTTCAACGTCTATTCATAGACGTTGAAAAGACGTTTACGTTTAGACCACATTTCAACCAGCGAGCATTTCAACGTTGAAAAGACGTTTAAAAGACGTCTATGGCCCGACGTTGAAAAGACGTTGCAAAATGGTTTAAAAGTGAAAGTTGTTTCAACGTCTATTCGTAGACGTTGAAAAGACGTTCGCGTATAGACCCGTTTTCAACGTGATTTATCATATCGGTGGTAAACTTACAAATGTGGACGTAGTTTCTTTTTAAACCTCTAAAATAATGATATAGCACACAAGAGAAGACGAAATATTACCGTATTAAAAAATCACGTTGAAATGTGGTCTAAACATAGACGTCTTTTCAACGTCTACGAATAGACGTTGAAACAACTTTCACTTTTAAACCATTTTGCAACGTCTTTTCAACGTCGGGCATAGGCGTCTTTTAAACGCCTTTTCAACCAAAAAATGCTCACTGGGATATGCCTCTTATAAATCAGCTGCAAATCCCACTGTCTAGACCGGATTGTGTTATTCCAATATAATGCAAATATTGTCTCATTTGATTAAAATAACAAAAATAGCCTGCAATTATATAAAGTTAGTTCCACTCTGCTGGATATGTCAAAATAGCATTTGAAGAAACTACCACGTCTACCACATCCCGTTAAATGATCTGAAACTATGACACCCATGGCGCTTGAGTGATTCATCTGAGCTGACATGCAGTCGTAGACCGTGATTCCCTCATCCTTCCCCTCTCTGAGCTGCACACAGCGGACATTTGTGTTGAATCTGCTCCGTCGCAGTTGTTATGCTTTTTTCATACACATTACTTACTGTACCCCCCTCCCCCCCAGCTTAATTATCAAAGGCCATATAAGTTAACTATCGGGTGGTTTGGGGGGGAGGGGGAGGGTTAATCTGTCCCCACTGGAACATTCCTCGCCATAACACCCTGTCATGTGGCGCGACTGCTCACAGGAAAACTACATTTTTTTACCTTTACCCAAAAATAAATGAGCTGCCGCTTTGTGCAACCCCCCCCCCCCCCCCCCCCCCCCCCCCCCCCCCCCCCCCCCCCCCCCCCCCCCCCCCCCCCCCGCGTAAAGACGCGGTGAGGAAGGACAAGCTTTCCTTTCGAAAACATTCCTGCCATCCAATGCCTCTTCTGCGTGATGGCCTCTGAGACGGTCTTGCACGGTCGTGCATTTCGCGTGCCCTTCACTGATTTCTGCACGAAAGCTAAGACTTTCAAAAATTGTAATATTTATTTTTCCTAAATGGCAGACCCTGGTAACACGAATTGTCCTATAGGGACTGAATTTACACTAACGATCCAGTCTGCTTAAAGCATTTAAGATTATTTCATATCAAATTAATACTTATAATTACTAACTTTTGATCTGTTCGGTTGCTGTGATTTTAAATCTCCTCTCACGCCTCTTCCCTCGTGTGTCTTCACGCTCTCTTCACGCTGCCTTCTGTTCTTCTGCATCCCTCCAGGACTGCTTCTCCATGACCAACGTGTCTTGGTACGGCGGGGCCGGCGTCCGGGGCCAGACGTGGCCGATCAACGATCAAAACGCCACCACGCAGCCCTTCACCGTGAGCGACCTTAAGGACAACCCCTCCGGCTTTGGCTCTGCCCTGGAACGCTACTTCCTGGGCTCCTCGGGTGAGAGGTCGCCGATGGAGCAATCGCTTGCGTCGCTTAAGTGGAGGCTGTCTCATTAGCAGCACCTCGTCTCGTTCCAGTCAGAAAGACCTTTTTTCCAAATACGTCCAACGGCCCTTTGTCAGCTGTCGCTCCACACTCGGTGCAGGGTCAGCACAAGGGAAATCCGACCGCACATCGTGGGTGGCGGGGCGATGCGATGAGTGGCGTGAATCCCAGGGCATCAGGGAAGCCCTGTAGAGTTTTCTTGCCACCTCCACCTCGTGCACTTGTTTGTTTGTGTTTGAGCTGAGATATAAATGGTTAGACTGCCTCCAGAACCAGCATCCCCCTTAGAAAAGATAGGAGGTAACACAACACTCTCTGTGGCATCTTCAGTTGATTCATTTAGAGATTAGACTACAAAGGCAAGCAAACCACCTTCAGCGTCTTAAATTAACTTGTAGGGATGCCGAGGTAATTGCCTTTTGTTTCTATTAAAAGGGCAGGTTGGATGATGGCTCACTCTCGGAACTCATCGGGCTATTTTGGAGTTATTTTATCCTGGTGGCAAATGGGGCGTGAAGGGGGAGGGAAGGCCACTCGCAAACGTGAATGGTTATTGCAACCGCTCTTAAGTTGTGTTCGTGCAGAGTTTGCTTACTGAGCTTCTTCTTTATCTCATATGAATGCATAGCTACATTTGTCACAACCAGACATTTCCATATCTTGTTTCACATACATGCACGTTGCAAAATGTACTTCCTTATCGGTGCAGTGAGGAGAAGTCTGTGTGCAGTGTGTAGCTACAATTGCTAAACAGCGTCTAGATTAGGGCGAAGAGGTGAGACGTCAGCCAACGAGGTGACGCCAATCGCTGATTGTTGCAGCGCGTCTCGCGCACGCATTCATTCACATACTGGGAGAAACAAATGCACACATGCACAATACACCCATACACTTTTTGCCATATTACATAACGCTGTGGGAGGCTTAAACAAGAGTCACATGACTTAAATCCCCTTTCTTGTGAGAGAAGGGCAGTGATTAGCAGGACCCTGGTATCATTTTTTTCTCACATAAGCGTTGCCCAAAGAGAAGAAAAAAAGCACAGATGAGAAGAGATCCCAATGAGAACAACTGTTTGAACGTTGCCAAGTAACCACTCACAGACACACACTGAACCCAGGGCCAAAAACGGATGCTTAGCAATGGCCGCGATGCACGTTGGATCATGCAGAACATAAATATCACTTTCAGCACAGAAACACAACAATAACAACTAATGCAAATCTTTTTTTAATCACCATATTGTAATCGCATTGTTGCCCTTTTTAGTAAAATTCTACAGAAAATACAGCAACTGGTCTTTCCATACTGTTTGTATGCAAAACAATTATTAACATTGTATCTACCGATTGTATCTATCTATTTCTAAATTAGTTGCGAGTGTGCTTTCCTATGGATGAAAAAATAACTATGGTATGTTTGTTTTGCTCAAAACATATTTTTGAAAGGCATGCAGCACTCAAAGAGTCACCAAATATCTTCATTTTGGTGAAATGTATATAGAATCAGCGGGCTGACGAATTTGCGTTTCAGCCAAAAGTCTTAATGACGCTGCCCTTTTCTACTGAAAACTGCAGTGTGGGTAACAAACTGCAGCTTTAATGTAATATTAACAGCCGCGTACCCCAGCTGAATACTGTGTGTGGGTGTGTGTGTGCGTGGGACCTGTCTCCACTGACTAGTTAGGAATAGGAGCACATTATGAATGTTGTAGGCTGACTTAAGGGGACTTAAGGGAGCGGAGAAAGAGCCAAAGAAACGGACTGAAACACAGAGCCACAGAGCTACAGAATGAATACATACTGAACTCTAATAGTGATAAAAACATCATTTAAAAAAAGTAACACGTTAAAGAAGGGGTGGTGAAGTAAAGCGCAGCGTCAAGGGGAGACGATACATGCAGCTGTGCAGAACAGTGACATTTGAGAGTGTTGCCAACTGGAGGAATCTGTCATAGCCCCACCTGTCTTTATCCATACAAAAACAACTGGGATACTGAGAACAGATTAGATATCAGTGAAGCTACTTCCTGCATTAAAAATATAACAGTGCAATAGATGTCCAAAAGATTTGGGGGCTTAAACTTACATGTACTCAACTAGATGTTAAGGATACAGTGTTCCGAAATAACTGAAAAGTCAAACTTTGTTGTCTCCTTCTGTAGTTTTTTTTATGGTCATGTATTTCCTTCTCACTTGAGCTTGCACGTCGAAGAAAAACAAGCTGCCCACATGTTACACAACAGGTCACCAGAAGGTCCCTCGGCAGCTGCCCCGAAACCTTAAATCTTCAGGACGAGCAGGAGGTGAAACACTTTAACAATGACTCACTTAGCCAATTCAAGCTTTGTTAAAAGCAAGCTGTCATCTCCTGTTAGAGAGACCTGTTGCATGTATGAAAATCATTCCGCGAGGTTTTCCACAGTCTTAATACCGAATACTTTCCATCGAGGACAAGCAAGAGACAGCAGAGAGGCCTTTTTAAACGGAGCGTCTGTCAACTGAGATAATTAGTTATTATGTATCCGCTCGTTCACAGCCATCAGTCAGCTTCGTTTCCTTTGTATTTTACAAATACTCTTGCAATAAGCATTTCTTTAATTCAAATAAAGACTAATTATTGTAATTGTAATGTTATAAGTTATCTGAAAACCCAAACAGTATGCGTACTCCAACTGAAAAAGACAGACCTTGATATTTTATGAGAGTACTTAGCAGTGAAATATTCTTTCGGATCCATATTTACATTTCTATCTCCTATATTTGTGCAGAGCACAGCGTCTCACACTTGAAACACACACTCAAACTGATTGATGATAGAGAAAGTCTCTTTAGTGTTTCATTATTTTTTCAATAAGTGGAATTGGAAATTTACGACAACGGCAAGATCCCAGTTTTGTGGCCATCAATTTCTTGAGGTTGGGTACAGAAACTAAGTTTCCATTGTTAAAGGAATGCATGCCCGAACACACACACACTTGCACACACACACATAGTTACTATTACTTATATACGACTATACTTTTTATTAGCCCAGTCTGGTACTGTGTACATAAATAACAGTATAAATAGAGCCAGAGGAAGTGCCGAACCTTTATGGTCCAATAATCCCTGCTCAGTTTTTTCTTGGAAGTCTACAGTTTCCCGTTAAAAGACGTCTGTGTGTATGTGTGTGTGTGTGTGTGTGTGTGTGTGTGTGTGTGTGTGTGTGAGAATGCGCATACACGTTTGAAGAGGTGCCCCAAAGTTGCTTGATTTGTGTGTTTGTTCGACTAAAACTAAGGCATGTGTGTGTCAAATCTGCTCTATAAACTGTCACTCTTTTTTTCTTTTTTTTAACCTTTGCGTATCTGCTGCTTTGAAGGCGATTGGCTACGGTTGGACAGGCTTATAATTTTGCTTGAGAGAGAGTGGAAAAAAGCTTGGAGTGTTTAAGGAATTGTTCTAAAAATAGGGTCCTTCCTCTTGCTGCCCATTTAACTCCGGTACACCCCACCTTGGCTGTAACTCTAGGCTTCAAACCTGCGTGGCTTTCTTTAAATAACACTTATTGATTCCTGCTTCTTTATGGTTCATGCATCATGTGATTTAGTGTATTTACCATTCTAATCGGCATGTTTAGTCAAAGAGAATGAAAGTTAGGAGCTGTTTTAACCACGTTGTCCCATTTCCTTGAGACCCTGCACTGTCACTTCCCATAAAAATTCAAAACGACTCAAGAAGTCATGTTTGCAAGCTTTAACTTTAACGCTTTCCACCCTGCGTGCGCTTTGGTGAAGCGCGCTGTTTGCAGCCTGCTGTATCTGCACATCACTCCACGAGGCTGCGCGGTGTCTGGTGTACTCTGATCGCCTCTATTTCCACTGCCTGCATTCCACTTCCATCCTTCCATAAAGCTATAACATTTTCCCCACTGGCCCATTTTCTACTCCACTCCATGAGTGCATTACTGACATGCACAGATTCACGGCACCTTTGCTTTACTAAAAATAGCCGTTTTTATCCCCTGCGGTTTGAATATATGTAACAGTGTTTTCAGAAGAAAAAAAATCTACATTTATCTGCCATTATGAATCTATAACAAGCAGTTGGGAGATGACCTAATACCTCGAGAGGGGCAGCTGAGGAGTTACCGGTATCTCTTTGACATTATCGGGGTCGTCATGGCGCAGGGGTTAGAGAAGGTGTGCTGGGAAGCACAAGGTTGTTGGTTTGATTCCAGGCTGCCCCATGTTCCATGTCGAGGTGTCCCTGAGCAAGACACCTAACCCCTAATTGCTCCCTGGGCAAAAATGTGAAAAAGCCATGGGTTTAAAGTGTAACGTAAGTCACTTTCGATAAAAGCGTCTGCTAAAGGACCTGTAATGTAATGTAATGTTGCAAACACGTGATAAGACCCTGTGGTTGAAGGCTCTTCCCCAGGCTTTTTGCACCTCTTTAATACTGATCTCTGAAACTATTAATCTGATTATGGACCGGTACGTGGGGGGGTTGGGGTGGGGGGGCTGCCTGTTCCTGGTCCCCCTTTCAGCAGGAAAACAGTAAGCCCATTGAAACTGGAGAAGGGGCGCTGAAGTGAGCCAAGGCTCTTGGGCCCAGTTGTCAGACGGCCTGTCTGCTTTTGGAAAAAGGGTCTTGCACACAAATCTGTTCATTGATCGGCTTCCCAATCCCAGCCTCATTGGAGCGGATTGCGCAGAGAGCCAGGTAGACCCCCGGGGGGGAAGAGGGGGGCGGGGTTTGGGTCGGAGGCTCTGGTCGGCCCCTGCTGACCCAAGACGGGACGGAGCCAGAGCGCTGCAGGGCGGAGAGGAGAGGAAGGAGGTTAAAGCTGATAGGGATGCCGGGGGGTCACGGCGGGTGAGAAATGGTGAGGACAGTGCGTAGGGGTAACCTGAGAGGGACAGAGCACTCCTTACAGGGCAGCTACATCTGCAGACACAATTATCTGCTTTGCATTATCTTATAATCTCACACGGAAGGCGGCATATGCGTATAGCGTGGGAGAGAAAATGCTGGTTTCCACACTAAAAGGTTGAATGACAGATGCGCTCGCGAGTGAAACCCTGAGGGAAAAACCTGTGTCTTCAATGTGACTTTGGATAAAAGTTGCCAACCGTCCCAGTGTAAAGTCATCTAACCGCATACTGCGATATATCATTCTACGGAGTGTTTTTCTCACATCTGAACGCAGCAATATCCGCTGACACGGCCCACGCTCTACCTCGGGACACACTCCATCCGTCCACACGCGCCACGGCCTCACTATTACTCAAGCGCTGTGCCACACAAGAGAGGAATCCGCAACGGGCCGCCTCGGGCTTACACCGCTTTTTGATTGCTTTACATCAAGGCTCCCTTGATAAGCATTCAAAGCGACACATTAGGGCAGGGGTGTCAAACTCAATTGCACAGGGGGCCAAAATTCAAAACACACTTCAGGTCGCGGGCCGAACAGAATAAGCATTTATTGAACACACTAAAACTAAATGTTTCTTTTAACATAAATATAAATAAAAACAGACAGGAATGTTATTCTGCAATAAATAAACTTAAACTTTAAATAACTTAAATATCTTGCTCTCCATAAAAATATATCCAGTCAAAATTATACAAGTTAGAAATATGAACATACTGCAAAACAAAACAAAACCTGGAAATATAAATAAAATTTGTGCTTTTCAGCAATAACAAATAACGAATCAAAACATTCAGTTTTCTTTTCTCTTATGCCATTTTATCAGAGCTGGATGATTTGCACCTTTTTTGGCAACAAGTTGGTTTATGTTTTTCGTGAAGTCCCGTGTTGTGGAGACTCTCAGGATGGACTGAAGGTGCTCATCAGTGAGACGACTCCTGTGTGCGGTATTGTTTTCATCACTGAGAACAGCTTCTCACACAGATATGTGCTACCAAACATGCACAAGGTTCGAGCCGCATGTAGACGGAGCTGGGGCATTGCTGCGGGAATGGAGTGAATAAACAGTGTCGTACTTTGTCTTTAGTGTCCCATCACACTGCAGCTCAATCAGCTCCATCTGAATCTGCACAGGTGCAGTTTCCACGTCGACGGCAAATGGGTTGCGAAACAACTCAAAATTATTTTTTTGTTCCTCAAAATCACCAAAGCGCCGTGCGAACTCCGTGCGCAGCGCGCTCAGTTTATCAGCAAAGTGCGTATTTGGGAACACCGTTGTTCCGCATTACTTGGCAACAGGGAAAGTGGGGCAAGTTGCACTGGTGCATTTGTGTCTCCCATAAAATCAGCTTCACTGGAAATGCCTTCACTGCGTCATACATGTCAGTGATCATGCGGTCACGTCCCTGGAGCTGGAGGTTTACGGCATTGAGACGTGCGGTTGTGTCAGCCAGAAACGCCACCAAAAGCGCTCGCCAAGGGAGCTGAAGCGCTGCATTATGGGATCTGTAGTTTATTTTGTTATCAGCGCTTCATATCGTCGGGCCATTAGTAACAATAATATAAAATGATCTCGCGGGCCAGATATAATTGCATGCCGTGCCGGATATGGCCCGCGGGCCATGAGTTTGACATATATGCATTAAGGCATCCGATTCGCCTGTGGCATAAATCCTGTTCCCTCTCCTCGTCTGCATTCCCACCACACAGGCGTTGCCGTGTTCGTGTCCCCTGATGTCCCCCTGCAGCTGGGGATGGACAGCAGACAGCAGTTCTGCCTGCAGTCGCTGCCCAGCTTGGAGCGTCTTCCCCTGCAGTACACCGTGTGCGTGGCCCGCAATGTGAAAGCTGCTCACCAGGAAGCAGCGCAACAACTCTCCCACCATGGCAGGGAGCTGCCCAACCTGGACGTGTTGTGGTCAGTTCAACTTACATCCACGTTAGCCGAGATTTCCTTGTCAGAATGGGAAATGTCTGTTTTGTCCTAATGGCAATAAGTCGACCAACTGTGTTTATTTTGAATGAATGAATTATAATTCATCCAGGATCCCGAGAGAGGGTGCAGGTTTTGTATGATCCCTCTGTGTGGGCCGCAGGCTGCCGTTCTGGAAGCTGCTGGCGTACATGGATTCGGGGCCGAAGGTGGAGAGGGAGCTGAGGACCTTCTCTAATCGTCTGAGGAGACACCAGCTCGGGGAGGGAGTCATCAGCCTCAGTGAACATTCCACCACCCTCCTCTCCGACATAGTACGTGCTCATCACTGTGCCTCACAGTACCGCCTCTGTGACGCCAGCCTCCAACTCTTTAGCAGACTGGGGAATTTATCAAAAGGCAAACGTGCTCTGTAGGCAAGACAAGAGTTCATAGTTTCATGTTAAATAGGAGCAGAGTGAAGATGACAGTCATTTAGCTGATAACGCAAAGATCATCCTAGCGCGTGATCTTTAAAAAGCAACAATCTGGAGACAAATCTAAATGAATCGAATCCCCCTAAAACAATGTCCTGTTTGCTGTGCCTAATTTCAATGGTGTGTTTTAACGAAAAATTGAACATTTTTTAGAGAAAGGTGTGATTTGAGGGGGCATTTCACACTATTTTGAGAGCAAATGGCTCTCTTAATTATCTAATTATCCGACACTTTAAAGACCACTATTTCCTTGGCTTTGCTCCTTTAAATGTAGATGTACACAGGATCGTCTATAACAGCACGTACAACACAAAAGCTGGTGGCGGTGTTCTTTTGCTCGTCCCCTCGTGCAGCAACAGATTCCTGTAATCCTTCTCCTCAACCATCCGGCCGTCGAGGCTCACGAGGGTTTATCGTTCAGTGGCTCAAAACCTGTCAAAGGTGAAGATGAAAGAGTTTTTATGAAAACGGGCTCCCAGAGCTTTGGAGACAACGAGGGCCGACAGCTCCGTAGAAATGTCACAAAGTAGAAAAGAGGATTCATGCCTTCACTTTGAAAAATGTGTTTCCGTGAGTGCAGCAGACCACGCTATCTGCAGCCCACTTTTTGGGATTATGCCTTAAGACCATGTAAAGGTGATACACCTTGGTCATACGGATTACAAAACAGTGTGTCCGCTTGGGGAGACCAATAGGTCAAAATTGTGTGCTCTATGTAAGATATTTGTCCTTCCAACTCCAAAACAGTTCAACTATCGTATTTAGTGGGCAAAATTAGATTATAATTGTTTAGTGGGAATGAAACAGAAATCACAGTGTGTCTCCGTCTCCCCGCAGGACCACGACTACCTCAAAAGCAGGAAAAGGGGGATGACCAAGAGACTGACCAGGGACCTGCCACTTGTCAAGCTTCTCAACATTTCCATCACCCTGTCCCCGTTCCTGGGCGTGGACACCACACAGTTCCACGCCTCCCTCGTGGACGGCACGGAGGCCTACTGGCTCAGTCTCCCCTCGGCGCCTCAGGGACACCTGGTGAGACACCTGAGTGGAACTTTCCAAGACAATAAAGTCCACTTCCTCCGCATTGTCCTCGGTCCGGACGCAGAAAACATATTTCACATGTCCACAAAAATTGACAGAGACCGTCACAGTTGTGTAAAATGGATTCTAATTCTGTGCTCGAGATCCCCGTGATGAGCCGCTGGCGAGGAAGGTTCTGCGTCAAGCTGAACGTCACCAACCCGGGAGCGGTGAGCTGGTTCCTGGACAGGGTGGGAGCCCTGCAGGCCCATTTGGGGATGGAGTACATCATGCTGGAGGGGGGCGAAGGGAATCTGTTTGAGGAACAAGTGCTGCGTCCGCCGCAGACTCTCGGGGGCGACAACTACTTCGGCTTGCTGGCCGACCTGGCCACACGGATGGGAGACTCCACCATCGTGACGGCGGGGACGCGGTAATGCCCCGAAGCGTCTCATTGCGTTGTTCTTTTAACCAAGGCCAACTGCCATTTATTTTATGGCGCTGTTTTGTGTTTCAGGTCAAACCACAAGCCCCTGTTTGTGAGGATGACCCCCATGCAGTCCGACTGGAGCCCGATGGGCCTGAAGGGCATCATTCCCTCCCTGCTGCACCACACTCTGCTGGGATACAACTTCCTCATTCCTGATGCAGTAGGTAATACCACAGCCTATGGGTCACCTTCCACACCTCTAATAGTACATTGCCGTAAGTCCTTTTTAGGAAAACTGAACTGTTATTTGTATGCTCATGTGCCCGATCCATCGGTAGATGTTGGTAGAGGGTTAAACGGTAGTTCACAAGGAGTGAGACTCAGAAACCAGTCAGTTAAAAGACAATTGTAACTTTTCGTATCTCTTTAATCACCAACCTTATATTTCCCTCTTAGGTATTTTGAAACTGCCAATTCAACAATTTTCTCTGCCTCTCCCTCCCCCCTCAGGTGGCTCTCTGTCTGGAAACCTCTTGACAGACGAGGAGTTGTTCATTCGTTGGCTGGAGATCGCTGCTTTTCTCCCTGTTATCAGCTTCCACACGCCTCCCTGGATCTACAACGAGGACTGGGTACGTCACTCGAATTGGAAAAACCAGAGCCCCTCATTCAGCCACTCCAACACCGTAGCCCCCCATGTTGAGGCGCCGCCTCATCCACTTTAGATATGATAGCGATAGCAACAAAAAGAAGAGGAACATTCTTTTCCAGACTAAATAAAAAAAGGTTTCGACCTCTCGCAAGAGATCAGGTGAAGTTATGTGTGAGCAGAGTGGTTAAGATTGCTTACGAAAAAGAGGCGAGAGAGGGAGAGTTCATTGACCCGGCGGCCTCATCTCAGTTTTGAGGATGAGCGCGGGGGGGGGGAAGTTCCCACCGGTGTGTTTGCAGAGGAGCATGTGGGCCGCTGAGACCTGGTCTATCAAAAACCCCCGACCGGGCAGCAGGAGAGGCCGGACTAAAACCTGTCCCCTCGCAGCTTGAGATGGGGAACGCGCACGGCAAGAAAATACAGCCTACTATCTCAGAAGTGTCTTGTGACAGATACGGGCGACTTCTCATGGCTCAGGTTCCTGAACATCAAGGAGGTTTGGGCTACTTCTCCCTCCCGCTCCCCCCTCGCCCCTCCCCCTTCTATCCGGTATAGGAGCGGACCGCCTGGCTCCCTCCCAACTTCACCTGTGGTTAAGAGTCCATCTGTTCTCAATTACGGTCTCTCATCCAGATTCATGGCTCGCTCTCACTCTCAAGAGCCGGAATGATAATGAAATTGAGGAAGTCTTGAGTCTTGGAAAAATATTTTTATTGTGGCAATTAAGATCCATTTCCATGATTTAATTGCTGAGTAATTGCATGAGTAATTGCTGCTTCATTTCCACCGGGAGACGGAGCTGGGCCACAAAATATATCGGTTGTGACTCGTGTGACTTGTGTGACGGAGATGAAAATAGGCCTTTTGGAAATCAAGACGTGTGACAGCAGCAATGCTTCAATTTATGAACTCGGATTAAGTGAGACTGAGAAGAGATTTTAGGGGAAACTACATCGCCTCATTGAAAATGATGAATGAGTCTTTTTCAGTTAGTTTTATTGGTGTAATAATTGGTGGGTATTAAATTTGACGCTCCTCTATTTTACAGAACGGGTAATACTTTGGTCACCATCAGGTCACAGCGGCAAACGCAGTGGAGCCAAATAGCAACGCAAACCTCAAACCCACACACATGCAACAACAACCTCTCAATTAGAGAAAGGTCCACTTAAACCTCAGCGCTGGAACAAATGTTCTCAATCCCAACTCAGTGAAAGACATTTTTCTAACGCAGTAGATTGCGGTCAGGTTTGGTTTTTGTCATGGGACACCAGAGAGGATGTGACCCTTCCAGGAACGCCGAAGTAGTTTGGACAGACAGAGACAAGGAGAAAGGCCGGGACAGTGTAAAAAAACAAATCAAAACAGTGAGCTGGTTCCACGTTCTGTCTGCATGTCTGTGGGGGCCGGAGATGGCACATGTGGCTTCAGCACACCGCATTGTCAACATTGCTCTCGTCTTGAATCCTGATTGCTTAGTTTGGGAACGACGTGTTAGGTTTTTCTGTTTGCTCCTCTAGATTTCTTAGAAAGACGTCGGACTGAACAGTAAGACAAAACAAAAGTGGTTCCGGGTGAAAACAAGGTCCCGCAACGTGGCACGACAATGATCCTCAAGGGATTTCTTCCTCGGCTTACTTTGCACATGGAAACACTTTAATACACACGCCAATAATGAAAATGCACGATCAAACCCCCAAAAGCACTTTCCCTGTAATCCCCCGACGATGCCACGGCTCATCTCTCCGTCCTTGACCCGCAGGTGTTGAACCTGACGCGGGCCTACATAGCGAAGCACCAGAGTGACGTGGTCCCGCTGATAGAAAAGTACGCGGAGGAGTGGCGGGCGACGAGAAGCCCCATCTACCGGCCCATGTGGTGGCTCAGTCCCAGTGATCCCGTGACCTTCACCATCGACGACCAGTTCCTCATCGGAGACGAGGTGACTCCATGGCGTTCCGTCTCGATAATGCACGACAATCTCCCTGAAATTTGAATCTGTTTTTTTAACCAAGCCAATATGTGTGTGTGTGTGTGTGTGTGTGTGTGTGTGTGTGTGTGTGTGTGTGTGTGTGTGTGTGCGTGCGTGCGTGCGTGTGTGTGTGCGTGTGTGTTTCCAGGTCCTGGTGGCGCCCGTGGTGGAGAAGGGGGCAGTGCAGAGGGATATTTATTTACCCGACGGGGGCTTCCAGTGGCAGGACAGCCAGAACGCTCAGGTGTTCGATGGGGGGACGTTCCTTCATGACTACCCCGTGCCCTTGGAGGAGGTGGCTGTTTTCTTACGGAGAAGCTGAGTCTCGTGACTGATCCGCCGGTCGCCCCGACTCGTCCCGTCACGGTTTTCAGCTCTGTTTTATTTCGTTTTTGCTGTCGTGCTGTTGTCAAATTGCACTTTTCCACTAAAGACCATTGACCCTGTCTCAAGGCTTGAGATGATATGTAGAGAGATGGGGGGGTTTTATACTTGCACTTTACAGTTCAAAATTATTATTTTTTTTCTTCTTCTTTCTGTCAACATGTCAAAAAAGAAAAAAGATCAGTTTTTACCTCTAGGCTGATTTGTTTCTGGACTTTGTATGTAAGTTCTGGAGAAATCTCTGCGTTTACATACTGCATTTCTACAGTCTTTACACTTTGGCCCGCTGCTGGCTCTCTTGATGAGGAGGAACAAAGCAAGCTTCCCGTTGCTTACAACGAATCCCTCAAGGAGACCAAATCACACAGAGAGCTCCGTATGGAACCCCCCCCGCGGGGCGCCGTGCGCTCGTTTCTCACTCATCAGAGAGGCTTTTACTTGAACTGATGTTTAATGAATGTACCTCGTGTGGATTTTTCACTGCTCTACCGTCATCAGACACAACAAACTATCCCCCCGAGCACTTATTCTTTGAAGAGTTTAGCTTAATTTATCATATGTTTGTTGGAAAATCCAGTGTTCTTTAGTACTGTAGGCCAGATGATCCAATGTAATTGGTACTCTGGTTATTTGTTTGAATTTAGATTAGACTTTTTTTAATGGGCTGCACATTTCTTTTTTCTTTTCTTTTTTACCAAGTCTGTCTAATGATGAGTTAATATGGTCTAAATTAAGTTCTGAAGAAAGCCTTGTAGACAACGCCACGGATCAAAATGAGACTTTTGATGCATAGTTTGACACACAGAGAAACTCACTTGTTTGCTTTCCTGCAGAGTCACATCGGTAGACGTTAAGCGCAGGGAGCAGAGCTAACAAAATCATACTCAATAATTAAAAGCTTGTATCTCCTTTCTTTAATGCATATAAAAAAACAATAGCAACTAGAAGGGGGTAAGAGATGGACTATTTTCCAGGTTTTATGCTGTCAACCAAGAGTTTCTATTCATCATAGAAATTAATCATTGAATAAAAGGACTCAGGGCTGTAGTGTCTACTTCACATTAACCTTGATATGCAGTCACATTTGCATCTATCGCTGGCCTCCAGTAGGATTACTTCTTGAAAATATTATTTTATTCATGCTTTAAGCTAACTGTAAATTAGATAACTGCTTTAATTTAAGAGTAAATTAAAAACTCCTTTTGCACCATGATGCCTTGCTCTATGTAGAGTTAAATAGTTGGCTTTTCTTTATGGATTTGCTCTTCACCAGATTAATCTCAACTGGCCAGCAGTGATGATGCAGATCCTGAAACCGTAGTGAATGCTTTACCACTAAACTGTGTAATATTGATCCAACATGTTCACTGTATCAACTTGAACACTCAGGTACACTGAAGCTTATCAAATCACCAAATGTCTTAGTGCAACACGGTATGTTGTAAACACATCTACGTCTTAATCTCTCCCAAAACTGAATGTACAATAGAAAAACTGTGATTTCACAACCGAGCCCTTCACGCGAGGAGCTTTTCTAAATCCTGGTCAAATGCTTTGAATTCATGCTGTTCTTATGTTCACTTACAAGTTGCAGGAAAAATAACTTCGATGTGTTATTCCTTCCCTCCACAGACTGAGCGAATCACGCTCCTTCATATGCCGCTCTTAAATCCGGACTACACGCATGTCTGGATTATTGCAGTATCCGCAATGTACATATTACGATGACTGTGCCATTACAAGTGTTTTTTTCTCATCTGTAAATCAGAGAACTTAGAATGACAAAGTTGCAATAAAGTTTACATTTTCTTACTTCACTTGGAGTAAATTCGGTTCTTGCGTATTTTAAAGAGCAATGAACACATCGCGGCAGAAGGCGGACCCTTTTTATTTGTGATATTTGTTCCATCCATATCAGTTTGCACTGATATTTTACTAATGGCCCGACAATATGAAGCGCTGATAACAAAATAAACTACAGATCCCATAATGCAGCGCTTCAGCTGTCTTGGCGAGCGCTTTTGGTGGCGTTTCTGTCTGACACAACCGCACGTCTCAATGCCGTAAACCTCCAGCTCCAGGGACGTGACCGCATGATCACTGACATGTATGACGCAGTGAAGGCATTTCCAGTGAAGCTGATTTTATGGGAGACACAAATGCACCAGTGCAACTTGCCCCACTTTCCCTGTTGCCAAGTAATGCGGAACAACGGTGTTCCCAAATACGCACTTTGCTGATAAACTGAGCGCGCTGCGCACGGAGTTCGCACGGCGCTTTGGTGATTTTGAGGAACAAAAAAATAATTTTGAGTTGTTTCGCAACCCATTTGCCGTCGACGTGGAAACTGCACCTGTGCAGATTCAGATGGAGCTGATTGAGCTGCAGTGTGATGGGACACTAAAGACAAAGTACGACACTGTTTAATCACTCCATTCCCGCAGCAATGCCCCAGCTCCGTCTACATGCGGCTCGAACCTTGTGCGTGTTTGGTAGCACATATCTGTGTGAGAAGCTGTTCTCAGTGATGAAAACAATACCGCACACAGGAGTCGTCTCACTGATGAGCACCTTCAGTCCATCCTGAGAGTCTCCACAACACGGGACCTCACGAAAAACATAAACCAACTTGTTGCCAAAAAAAGATGCAAAGCATCCAGCTCTGATAAAATGGCATAAGAGAAAAGAAAACTGAATGTTTTGCATCGTTATTTGTTATTACTGAAAAGCACACATTTTTTTATATTTCCAGGTTTTGTTTTGTTTTGCAGTATGTTCATATTTCTAACTTTTTGACTAAATTTTGACAGGAGATATTTTTATGGAGAGTAAAATCATTTGTGATATTTAAAATCTAAGGTTTTTTTTATATAAAATGACAAAAGCAAAGAAACTCAAATGTTTTGATTTGTTATTTTAATGTTTACTTAAAGCACAAGCACTGTCACAATTTTTATTTATTTTTTCAGGCGTTTTTTTTGCAGCATGTTCATATTTCTAACTTGTATAATTTTGACTGGATATATTTTTATGGAGAGCAAGATATTTTAAGTTATTTGAAGTTTAAGTTTATTTATTGCAGAATAACATTCCTGTCTGTTTGTATTTATATTTATGTTAAAAGAAACATTTAGTTTTAGTGTGTTCAATAAATGTTTATTCTGTTCGGCCCGCGACCTGAAGTGTGTTTTGATATTTGGCCCCCTGTGCAATTGAGTTTGACACCCCTGGTTTACACCCTCGCCTGAATCACTTAGAAATCCGGCGTGGGAGGGGGGGGGGGGGGCAGTTCTCAGCCCAATAAAATGCATAAGGTCTACTGTGGCTCCACGGTTTTGTGAGGTGATGAAGTTATAGTATTGAAGTCCGGGAGGTCAGCGGAGAGCCTTGTGTGACCTTCGCCGCTCTAAACCGTTTAATGCAGCTGCATTTTCACGTCCCTTTTAATCTGTGTGGGATGAATTAGTCTACATGTGGTTGATATTGGTACTTTATCCTCAGCAGGCTTTTTTTTAGGTCCGCTTTAATGTCAAATCGAGGCACAATAACAATTCTTTCCAGAAATCTTGCGGTCCAAGACATCCACCCTTAAACTAACATTTAGCAGCAGGACACAATTATTTCTTTTTCCCCCTCATTCAATGATTCAACATGTATCATTCAACCCAATTACTTTGGGAGCATAACAAAGCCACGTCCAGCAGTGCAGGAAAAACAAATTGTTCTGCCAAATCCCAAATCAAGAATGACACAAATGATCTAAATGCAGCAGCTGCAATGAGAACAATGTAACTTGGCTAGCAGGGAAAACAACCGCAGAGAACGGGAACGATCAGCGGCTGAAACGGGGAAACATTGGCTCCCCGCTTTTCTCTGAGAGTGTTGTGGGACAAGTGGTAGATGAATTAAACTGGTGACAAGCAGAGGCCGCGGATCTCTCCCGAAGTCTACTTTTAGAAAGTGCAAGTCAAGGTTTTAGGTTTCAGTGTCTGCTCTTTAGTGAATGTTTTTTTTCAGCTTGCCAATTAAGTGAACAATGTAAAAGGCTTGTTTTCCAGATGGCAGCCGCTGTATGGATCCGTCATAGCATTGTGCTCGAAAAAGAGCACCCCAGGATTTATTGCCAGGATTTATTGATCAAAAATGTCTTGTCCACGCATCCGTTGTCATTAATGGAGGCGACGCAGTGCATTTCTTCCTAAAAGTTATGAAATTATAAGAACGGATAAGAAAGAAAAACATACTCAGCAGTGATACAGCTGTCTGACATTCACTTTATTGTTAAAACTCAGTTTTGGTATATCAGCTGCTTGTCTTTTTACACCATCTTTGAATTAAAAGGCAAACATATACAGCTTCATCTTCAAAAAAAACATGCAGTGTCAACATGAAGTTTACTGAGAGTTAAACAACTTCAGCATAACTGCAAAGTCTGTGAGAATAAAACTGAACAAAAACTAGGTCGTCTCTTCTACTTATTTTATCAGCAAAACTTTAAGTGCCACATTCAGTTGATAAATATGAATTTTGTTTTAATAATAAAGAAGTTAAAACCTTGAAAATAAATATGAACTGGCAACATATACATAAAAGAAATGCATTCCTACATGACGGCCTCTCTATACCTGCACTGCTTACGTATTAAACAGACAACACAAGCTAGGAAGCTCTGCACCTCCTGTTGAAACAACCAATGTTTACTGACCAACTATTTGCTCATAAAGTGTACAAATTCATAGAGTTTACAATTCATGTTGATCTGACAATCGGCTACCAATGCATTTGGGAATTGGTTAGTTTGGACTAAAGGACCCGTCATGGAGTGCACAATGGAGTTTAAGTACTGTTAAACCACTACTCTTCTTTTTGAAACACAAAGAAAAACTGGAAAGAAAAAATAAACGCCGGCCCGAGCACTTTGACATCGACCACCCTGGAAACACCCCCCGTCCTCCCACAGCAGACTTTAAGCACACTGGGATCTCACGGCATCACACCATCTTGTACTGTTGCAACATCACAACATCAACTAATCTTGCAATGCCGCAGCCAGCGCTCCAGAGTACAAGGCCAAGTTAAAAATAAACCTGAGTATGAACACGACAAACACTCAAACACAATGTGCCTTTACGCCACATCACAAGATCACAGCAGCTTCCTGATCCATTGATCGTCTCCCTGTCGTCTTTGTTGGTATCCAGGTCGTCACGGTTACAGTCACATTCAAGATCAAGAGCTGAATATTGGGGATTCTCATTAATACAGATCAACTGTTTTAGTCCTTCTGGCCTCCGCAGGTACACCGTTCCGAGACACAAGTGCTCAACAACAACTACTCCTGCAGTAAATCAGACTCTGTATTTAAAACTGAGCCATACGAAATGAATAGACAGATGCAACATGCAATTAGTTGACAATATTGAATATCACATTTGCTGCAATTGGAAAGGAGAAACCAACTAAAAGAAGGAAAAAATAATAATATAGTTAATCGGATTTTTCAAAACTGGGGCAGAAACTAGTAAAATATTGCACCATCAACTTGAGAATGTGATTTCAATATTGGATGATGCTAATGAATCTTTTCTGACATTATAGTATGTTATTGTGGTAACACAGACGAGAGCTCCAATTTCCCCTTCCCTTCCCTTTCTACATCGGTGGGTTACCAAGGCACCCATGCAAACAGTCCTGCCAATAAAACCATTTAACGACGCACTGTACCCAAGAACACCAGTATCTCACCCTGCCTATACATACAGTACTCTCTTAACGGCACCGCCAACAAATTGACAAAAAATCTCAACCATTCTTAATTCAGTTAACCCTAAATCCAATATTTGATTCTGTACAAACCTCAGAAAGAATAGATTCCTTGCTAAAAACTACTTATGTCGTCTCCACGCATGGAGAGGGCTGATCACTGGGTTTTCTTTTCAAGCTGGAAGAGACCCTTTATGTCGAGCATGGCCTGTCGGATGTGGCCGCCGAAACGGTGAGAGTCCTGAAACAAAAGACACTTAAAAAGATACTTCTTCAGACACTAAATTATGTAAATTCCCTTTGCAAACCGAACTTACGGTTTCGGGGCTTGAGTGTTTGCTGGAGATGTGGAAGTTGATCAGGTTCTCCCCAAGGATGATGTAAGAGACCCCGTAACCATCATCAGCCACCTTTAGGACGCAGGAGGAAAGACGTGAGACCCATCGAGAAAATCTAGATCTTTTTAATCTAGATTTCCAAAAGGCTAGAATTCATGACATGAAAATACATTCATGACGCCAATTAAAGATGAACAATTAATCAGTGTTTGAGCGCCTATCTCTTAGTGAAGACAAAACAAATATGCAGCGATCTAAAAAAGGAAACACAATACTCAACAACCACCTTCCAAAAAACAAAAAACCATCGCAGTTGCCGGCTGACTTACTGGACCGAATCCTCCTCCAGCAGACACATACTCGGGGTGTCTGACCAGATCGAACAGTTCCACTTGCTGCAAGGGCGTCTGACTGGTGGACAGCCTCCACGGCTCAGACAGGACCTGCACATGGAGGCAACGCACATTTAGTCCTCCGGGTATCAGCCTGACTGACACATTCCTTTCTATACATCTCAATGTCAATGGCAAGTTAGAAAAGAATGAACCGATCGCGCGTGTGTTTCAGGTGAGAAAACGCGCCTCTTTTGGCGTAGTCAAATATGGCTGCTTTACATCCACTACAGTTGGTTGTCATACAAGAAGCACCCAGAGTGCGATTTACTTGCTTACAAAAATCCGTAGAAGTCTACTTTGCGAAGATTGTGTGTGTGTGCTTGAACTTAACGGGCCCGTGTATTTAGGAGTGAAACTGAATCCATATTAGGTAATGCTGGTAACTTATTTAAATGATGCAGTCCTGAACCAGCTTCATTTCAACCACACTGTTACAGGGATATTATTCCAGTAAATTCAAGTAGGCTTAATTTAGTCCAAACTAAACAGCTCAACAAACTGACTTGTAATGAGGTCGGGTTTAGCATGTTCACCGGAAAGAATCCATGAACCGACCCCCTCTTATGATTTTTCCCCCGTCAAAGGAGGAGTTTGTCTGCCAGCTGAGAGTTGACCTCATGACATGAATTGGATGATTAGTGAATACATTTAGGATTTTCTTCATGATTATATAACACGTTGATATTCTGCCACATATTTTTTCCACTGCAATTATCCTTTAGTGCATTTTCCCGCTCAGTAGCAAACGGTTTGTCCTGGTGGCTTCTGGAAGGCCACTTTTCATCTTTGCGTAGCGTGACTAGATGCCCTTGGACCACTTTGTATTGTTGTAGATCAAGTAACCTTTAGAGCCTTTCGTTGCAGCTCGAAGAGCAGAAATGTAATAACATGTGTCAACACCTCGTACCTCCTTGAGGAAGGGTGAGTCCTCGCCGAGGTATTTGGACACCACATAGAGGCAGAAAAGGTGGCGATCGATGCCCTCTCCGGTCATTGCCAGGCGGTACATGCTTTGGTGCTTCTCCGAGGCCAGTTTGAGCAGTCTGAGACACTCGTCTCTCTGAAATGGACAGCAGAGAGGCAGGTTAAACCACCAGAGAGCACGCTCGATGGACACTCGGCGACTAAAAGTAGCGCTCTAATCGTAGTTGTGGTGTGTCGCAGCTGTTTAGCCTCACGGTCTCTCCTTTGATCATGGCACGGACGAAGGCACACGACTCTGACGTGCAGGAGCGCACGGTTTCCGTCCGGCCCTCGCGGAACAGACGCGTCATAGAGGCCTCGTAGGTCAGACAGAACTTCTTCTTGTCCTGTTGAGAAATAGCGTGGATGAGCAGCTAACGATGATCATTGAAATGGCTTAAATTAATGCAAATTATCAACAAAAAGATGTTAACTTACTACTCCATTCATTTTATTATCAAATAAAAATTCAAATGGAAATAACCTCAAACCAAAGCTGAACAAAGTTCTGGTTAAATAAGGTCTTTAATGACACGTCAATGGGCAAGTTTAGACTGCTCTCTGCTGGAAATTTAGAGGAAGTCACTGGGGTGTGTTGATCGTTATATCTACAAGCAAATGCTAAGGCAACAAAATGTCAATTAAATAGGGGCATAGATCTGTTATCACTTAGAAACCGGTGTATTCACCCTGTAATGGGCCAGCTGCAGGGCGATCTGGATGAAGGCATCAGGACTGGTGCGGCACTTCTTTATCAGACCTTTGCCAAAGTCACTGAAGGGCATGATGTGAGAGTCCACGTCATCAGCCAGAGTCCTGGCTACTTTCAGAGAGCTCTGGATGACCTCCTGGCACTGGAGGAGGTGACAGTCACAGTTTTAGACAACACACTGATAAAACAAATTAAAAGAGCTCAAATTGAGAAAAAATGTACACCAGCGACATTTCTAGATTTATGGCTCAATGCCAGTTATTGTCACTTTTTGAATTTACGACACTCACTCGCTCTTTCTCTTCATTTACTTGAATTCTAGGAGTGAAATACAAACAAATGAGGGACATAGTTCAGGCTACCAGCAGAGGGAAACCAAGGCCAGTGAATATCAAATCCCAGCTGGTGGTACGCTTCATCGGTTTGGGAGTCAGACTAAAAGACCTACACACAGCCTTCTTGACAGGTCAAGAGCACCTCGCATAGCGATTGTCTACATGGGCAGAAGTGAGCAAGTAAGCAGGATTTTAACTTCTTTCTCCTTCATTTCTCACACATTGATGGCCGTGGTCAACGTTGTCATTCAATCATGCCAGGAGAGCTTAACAGTCACGTCCGTAAGGGGATCAGATCCCCGCGTGTCTGAGCGAGGACAACCTCCTCAAACTAACTTTGCCACATATAAAACGTCACACAAAATGATGTCAAATGGGTGTTTTGCTTTTTACTGCAACACTCTAGCTTAATATACTTTTTGATTATAGGTCTGGCCTTTTATCTTATTTGGGCTTTTTAGAAGTTTTTCACCAATAAATCCTCTGCAGATTGTCAGCAGGTGTTCATACAATTTGATAAGTGCTCTCCAAAAAGGCCGATCAAAAAAAAGACGATGAGATGAAGCATTGATTGCAAATTTAAAGGTGTACAACACAAATTTATCCGCCAGTAGGTGTTTTCCCAGAGATGTCTCATCACACCTGACCCAGTGATGCAAAGCCTGTCTGAACAGCTCAACTTGTTAACCAAAGGTTAATTTCAGCGGTTAGTTAATTAGAATAATCCGTTGACAACCATGAATAAAGAGTTGAAAAACGTTCTCAGTTAACAGCTACCTTTCTAACTCGACAAGATTTAGCGTTGCTGTGTTCCCGGAAAAACGTTGCATAAACTTGTTCTTTTTCATCGTTACCTCAGCCGGGATGTCCCACGACAGCTTCTGAGGACCAGGCAGGTTGGGGTGGGGTTCCCCTTTGCAGTGACCTGCCTCAGTGTATCCCAACTTAATAGGGTCCATGGAAAGAACATGCTGCAACGCAGAGTCACACAACATTACTGACTAAAACATGAAATTTAGATATCCCACTATTGTGCCTTAAATGCCTCGATGGACATCATGCCAATCAGAATATAAATACATGTTTTCCTATTATATTGTATTGGCTCAGACTATTGAGCTACTTGAGAGGTCAGAAAACTATTAATAAAGCCGATTTTCTTATAGATCTATTTACATAGATAAAAACTATAGTTTGTTGTGTTTATGAAATACAAAGAACAATAAAGATAATTCTTGACATGTTATTTACAGTGACAGAATACCACCCCAAACTCCAAGATAGGAGGAGTTTTCTTTAAAATATTCTCCACTGTGCAAGAAATTAATGAAAATAACAGTTCTTCTTTTACAAATAATTTTGTGGTGAGCTAGTTAAATACAGTCCTTGTTGGTTTCTTTTATAATACCAAAAAAGTACTCTTGTTTTTTGTGACATAAAATGCTTAAAAGAAGAAATCAATAACATTAGATAAAAACATTGATGTACCTCCCAGAGATGTCCGACGATTGGAGCATCCGCCCAGGAATGCTCCGCATTCAGTCCCATGGTACCGTTCTTAAAAATGATCAGGTTAAAGGATTTATCGAACCATCTGAATGGGGGAAAAAAGCAGAAGAATATACATATATTTTATATATGAACTCTTATAATGATCGCATACGCTATGGGTGTCCGCCCCACCTGTCGTAGCACTTTCCGTGGAGGAGGGACTTTGCGTAGCTGACCAGAGACTGGTCCGGGTTGTCTGATTCAAAGCGCTGCTCGGTGTCATCAAGGGTCACGCAAAAGGCCGCCTTCTCGATGGCGTCTAGAGATTGCTTGTTCTTACCACGACTGAAGTAGGTTTCTCTGGCGTTGGCCCATGGGGTCCTGCAGAGTAACAAATAGTTTATTTTTTAAACTGTTATCAACTACAGCTGAATATCAGACAATAGGTTTTAATATTATCAAAATTCGAAAATATTGAAAATTTGCGCTATAAAGTTGGGTCGATTCCCATTAAAAAATATGTTGCTGTTGTCGACGCCATAAACTAAAGGAATGTTAAAATAAAGGAATATTACTTTATTTTATAATGAAGGAAAAAGGAATATTCCTTTATTTTAACCGTTAATATGCCTGCTTACTCAGATAATGTCGCAATTCTTTTTATTAAAGTTATTTTTCACCGTTTAGGATATTCCAACAATTAGCAACTGTAGGATATTAGAAACAAATAGACGATCCGGTTCATAAAATTAATAAAAATGCATATAGTGTACACCAGAATACAGCCATAATTCTGAAACTGCGTAATCCATAAAGTAATGACAATATTGTAAAGCCACTGTAATTCTGCACCTGTAATAGAATAACATCAATGTGCAGTTATGATTGTATTTGATGTAATGTAATCAACTGGAATGCATGCATGTAATACTTGCACAACCACTGATATTGACTAAGGATCATTCGAAATCCGAGTTACATTGAACTCACCAGAAGACTCCCAGAGGTGTGGACACTGACTTTCACACCTTTAAGCATTCTTATAAATACCTGTAGGAACCATTGTTCTGGAGTTCGCTGGTGGAGGCGACAGACGGGCACTAGGGATGGTCAAAGGACTGACCTGGGGCCTGTTGGTCGCTGAGACCAGCGGCTCCTCAGCTGAGATGTTCTTTTTACCACAACGCCATCTTCTTTATTAAATACATTTGATTTTAACCTTTTGATCAGCGATGACCTCTGTCCGTCCAGCGTTTCTTCATTTTGGAACACAACAATTTGGTGACCCCGACGTGATGAGGAGCAATGGACGGACGGAGGAACAGCTGATCTGAACAAAGCCCAGCGATCGATTTTCTTCACTCACACGGCGCCATCGAAAAGGTAACCGGCAACCAGTTGTTTTAAAACCGAAATGCTGTATAGTTTATCATAGAACATTTAGGTGTGAGTGGACAAGATACAATGTTTTGAGGTAAACTGAATTTTAGAGAAAAAATAAATAAATAATGTTTCTCTTAGTTTGGATGGCCGTTGTGATAAAAAGCACATTGTATATAGTGTTTGTTTGGACGTCTTTTGTATGAGTTACCGACAAAGCTCGGTTGTGTAACGTTAACGTTAAGCGAAAGGGCGACGTTATTTCACTGTATCTGTCATAGAAGGAATGAATGGATACCTAGTATAGGCCTCAACCGGATGAGGGTAAACGTATAGCTAACTTATAGATCAGTTACGTAATGCATAGTGCCTGAAGCTCTAACAGAACCAAGTCCCCGAGGCGTATTGAGATCGTGATCGTACCCGGTCTGGTAAGACAAAAGGGAGTCGTTCCGAGAGAGGTGCGACCCGTAGGGACGTAGAGACGGTCAACAGTCCAGTGGGTGAATATATGTAAATAGTTAGCACAGAGGGAGACGTTTAAATGAGTGGGAAATAATTTGATTTGAGCCAAATCTATAGACCTTGTTGTAAATAATTTGGTATTTTCTCTTAAACTTAGTGATAGGCTGCAAGTTGTTGAGTGTGGAAATGAGATGTACAGTGCACGGTACATCTCATACAGCATCTTAATGACGGAAGCACATTTTATGTCATAGGATAACATTAGTAATAGCAGTACAGAATGGAAAACTTTGTTACAGACCATCATCCTGTAATGATTTTATCAACAAACCATACAAACATGTAACTACATATGAGATATATTGATAATCTATCATTTTCATTAGGAATACATGAATGTTCTGGGTCACTAACAAACCATGAGTTGAGATTTGAGTTCACAGATAGAGAACTCAGGTAAGCTGCCCTGACGACTGAGAATGCAAATGCAAGTCCAATTGTGATGGAAAGTCACAAAGACAAAGATCATCACACGTCCTGGAGCCCAGAGAGGCTGCAAGGAGAAAAGGAAGGAGCAGCGAACGGACTGGTAAGATGCAGAGGTCAAAGGGTGCAGACAGCTGACCAACAGGAGGGACTTAGCAGGTCTCCCATTGCAACAACAAACGGGATAAGCATAACTATTTTTACAGGGGTTCTGTTGACAGTAACGTGGTTCGAAAACCACAAGAATTCGAAAACCACACACACTGTTTGAATGCAAATATTCTGTGTATCATGCTTTAATCATTTTTCTGTTTCACTGCATAGGGACTGTTCTTTTCTTAATTTCTGTTTTTCAATTTAAAGGAAGAGCTCGCCAGCCAGCGTTGAACTTTGAGCCAATGCAAAGACGTCTGAAGCTGACCTGATGCTGATTATGACACATTTATTTTGAGACATGTGTTAAAATAACACATGTCTCAACAGGAGGGATGTAGATATAGAAATATTTTTCCAAATTGAACGATGGGAAAACTTAACAAAATAAATTACTAAAAGAAAGATTTAGATACCAGAGGTATGTATTGTCAACAGCTCACAAGAGTTGAATCTCACAATTTGACTTCTATTTCTGGAATGAATTTGAAATGTTGTTCTTCTCATTCAGTCAGCAGGACTGATAGTAAAGTAAATGGTACAGTTAAAGCTACAATTAAGAAAATAATGACTAGAACGGAAAGAATTAAGGACTAGATAAGTAATGTTTAAATTTGCACAAAGACCAGGAGGAACACCTGGGAAGAGCACACACACACACACACACACACACACACACACACACACACACACACACACACACACACACACACACACACACACACACACGCACACACACACACGCACACACACACGTAGGCACCCCATTGTGCTTCCCTATTCAACGGCTGACCAGGGAATCCTGATCTTCCAGCACCTCGGATCCCCCGATCGGTCTGGTCACAGGACCTGCGAGATTCTCAGGATCAAGAAGAGAGTGGATCTCAATCACACGTCAATGACGACCACTACGCGTCGCCTGACCAAGCCTTTGATAACAAGAGGAAGTATACACTCAACCATAATCCCACAAACACTTTAGTTTGTGTACAAGTTATTACCACACAACTTCAAGTAATTAATTAAGAAAAGGGACAGAAACCCCTCATTTAAATCCAAGCTGATTGAGATATACAAGCAAATACACACGGTTGATATTATTGTGAGAACAAGAGATCCAGGCTCTTGATTTACAAATCCAAACATTTCCCTGATATAGAACTATACAGTAAATAGACATATTCACATTGAACATCTGGTCGGACGGTGAAAGAGATTCACCTTTCCGTTGAGTTGTACTTATCAAGATAACAGTATTGTCCCGATTAAACAAAACATAACTATAGACACAGTGCACAACAGACAGGAATGCATCACCAATAATTGATAAACTACATTAACCTAAAAGCCACATCAGTAGAATGGAAGCTATGGGAATACCTGGGGGTGTCTAATGAGTTTCAAGTCACACACAGGATCTAGAAGACGCACCTCTACCCCTGCTGGAGCAGAGAGGGATGACACAGAAGAGGAGAGACCACCTGTCAACAACCTGAGCGGCGCCAAAGGAACCGTGAGCAGTGACCAAACAACCGTCATCTCGCTGAGAGGAAGGACTTCCTCAGCCCAGAGTCTGCTTGACCACCGTGCAGGACCAGGAGGAAGCATCAGGACCGACCACAGCAGAACCAGCACCGCAGAGCCGGACCAGAAGCAAGACAAGCATCGTTCTAGGAGACCAGAAGCAAGACTAGGACCGATTCAGAATGGGTCCAAGAAACCTTCCAGTCTCCCTTTTGAGGGACAGCACAGTTCCAAGACCACCTCACACTAATGGGGGACAACGACAGCCCAGCACAGACATAACCTCAGACCCACGGGTCACATCAGAGCCATCGATTTCCAGTACAGACACTTCCAAGTTCCCGATCCCCTCTACAAACACGGCCCCATGGACAACAACAACAACCATTTAGCACAGGAGATTCTGAAATGGTCGAGAAAACACCCTCACACACAAATGGAGGTGAACCACTGCTGAAAGCTCTCACTGAAGAACCAGCAGAGAACAGTGACATGGACAACCGCTTCTCAGGTTTATTGGACTCATGATTTAATAAATACAAATAATTGTTTATTTCTGTGATAACAGTCTCCACTATGGCCAGCATTCTATTCCTAGGTGGATGCTGTTGCATCTTCTGCATCAGGACTCTTATCATTAGAATCATCAGAGAAGACCAGCCCCATGATGCCATTAGGTTTATTAAATGAATGTGTCCTGTATCAATTTATACTGTACACATGACATCCGTGATGAAATGTTAAATCCTGGGAGAAGATCTTTCAATCTCTCCGACAGATTTCTTCCTTATTTTATTCCCAAAAAGGGTTTTCGAGGGAGTTTTTGTTCTGTGCCACATTTTATGATTAGAATGTGTAAGATTAAGCGTATCATATTGGATCGAACGTTATGCTAAACAAATATTTGGAGACGACACATCTGACAAAACTGAGGAATTTGATGAACCGGTCTCTCTGATTGGTTTTTACACCAAAATTGGTGTAAAGGGATGGATTGTAGGATATTAGAAACAAATATACGACCCGGTTCATAAAATTAATAAAAATGCATATAGTGTACACCAGAATACAGCCATGATTCTGAAACTGTAATCAATAAAGTAATGACAATATTGTAAAACCACTGTAATTCTGCACTGTAATAGAATAATACCAATGCAGTTATGATTGTATTTGATGTAATGTAATCAACTGGAATGCATGCATGTAATACTTGAACAACAACTGATATTGACTAAGGATCATTCGAAATCCGAGTTACATTGAACTCACCAGAAGACCACTCCCAGAGGTGTGGACACTGACTTTCACACCTTTAAGCATTGTTATAAATACCTGTAGGAACCATTGTTCTCGAGTTCGCTGGTGGAGGCGACAGACGGGCACTAGGGATGGTCAAAGGACTGACCTGGGGCCTGTTGGTCGCTGAGACCAGCGGCTCCTCAGCTGAGATGTTCTTTTTACCACAATGCCATCTCTTTTATTAAATACATTTGATTTTAACCTTTTGATCAGCGATGACCTCTGTCCGTCCAGCGTTCCTTCATTTTTGAACACAACACAACACACAGCAGTGCTGAAACCAGCAAATCAGAAAATTACTAAATCTGGTGGGAAAATAGTAAAAAAAAACTACATTTTTGAAACTAGGGCTCTAGATTGAAAGAGGGTAGTACAGACTGCTGCTTGAATGGTGTAATGGCTTCCGGAAGTTGTGCTTTTAATGGGTTGCAATGGGGAGGTTTTGTTCTTAAGGGGTGCAAGTGTTTTTTTAAATAAATAAATAAACTTCCTGTCGTGCTACACTGCATGTTGTGAATGGTGTGGCCTCATCAGTACTGGCTGCAGCTGGCTCTGTAGCGCCACCCACCTGTCCCCTGCGGTGAGTGCAGCTAGTTTCTCCTCTCCCGGCATTGGCTCAGTGGTGTCGGCCAAGATCCTCGCCATCTGCTGCTCGATCTCCCGTGGCAACAGCAACCGCCCGTCATAAAACATCCACACCTTGAAGAAACGGCCCTTGTGGTACACGGCAATGTGTTTGCTGTCGTTCACATGCTGAAGGATGTCTGGGAGACCGAGAGAGAGAGAGAGACAGAGACAGAAAGGGGGAAAACGGAGAAAGAAAGCAAATTGAGGCGTCGTGGCTGATCTTAATGAAGGCAGCAGTTTAAATGGACCATGGATGTCACAGCATTTGATTTCTAGGAACAGTCCAAGTGTTAGTAACCTGATCTGGGTCCCAGCTGTGAAATACTGCGATATCCACAACATACATTTTTGTCAGTTGGTACTTTTATTTTTTGGGGCATCCTTCGTATATCAAAATGAAGGGCAAAGACATGTAATGAATCAAAGATGACACTACATGATGGGAGAGAATACTGTCCAGTTCAAAATCTAAAAACAGCTTGATAATGGATATGCGGAAAGGGAGATGAAGTAATTTGGGAACAGGGTGATGGTTTGGGATACAATGAAACGAGGCAATGTTTGTTTGAACAGCATTGAGCACGACCAGCAAAAAAAACACAAATCAAAAAACATCTCTTGCCTCTTAGTATATAAAATAAGTTATGATGACTCTTTTGGAGTTGCTCGGGGATTCAAACAAGCATTGCTCTAAAATCACAGGGAGGACAAAAAGGAGGGGATACTTACAAAGGGACCAACTACCACCTCACATCCAGGTAATACTTGGCTTACCCCTCCAGCAATATCAGTATACATATAGGGAACTGGCTTTGGAAATTAAAAAAAAGAGATCATTTGTATTTAACTCTTATAATTTAAGTGTCGGGTGAACTGCAAACTCACACAATAAAGTCAAATATGTAACTGTAGAGATTTTTCTTAAATATTTTGCTAAACTTAAAATGAATGTTCAGATGTCACCACAGCTCAAGGTCTTTGTCCCAAGGCTTCCGGCTTTGATACTAAACAGATGGTCTGCGCCTCGGTTACTGGACTGAGGGTTTTATCCTGCATTAAAAGTCCTTTCCAACACTCTCTGCTTGCCATGGTGCTGCTGCAGCAGAATGGCTTTCTGCCCCTACAGAGGTCATGTATTGATTTTAGTCAACGCTAAACTATGACCACCACCCAAGAGTAATAATAATAGTAATAATAATAATATTAAAATTATTCCATGAACACATGCAAATTAGTCCTTCAATGTGCATAGACCTTCACACGTGCATTAATTATTCATGGAGGTCAGACTATCTCTAATTCAAAACACAATCGACAAACGTCTCAAGTACAGTAGGAGTAGTGCGGAGGAGGCGGCACTGCTAAAGACTCTACCTGTGTCTACACCTGGGACACGACTGCTGTTGAACATAGACTCGTATTGGGCTGAGCACATGGGAATAGTGTGTAGGAGCATGAGCTGAAAAGCAAAAGGGTAGAGTCAAACACAGATGACAAACTAATTCACAAATATCCCCTGGAGAGCGCAGCAGACACAGGCCTACAGAGAGGAGAATGGATGAAGGGAGGAGGGCCATGAGGATCGGTTTGATAAGCAGTCTCAAGGAGGAAAAAAGGGACCCGAGGAGGCTTCCAGGGAAGGAGAAACCAAGTGTCTGCCGTCTCAATGTCACCAGCAAAGCCCCGGGGTCATTTTTGACTAAAACGTCCACCGTTTTACACATGTACACTTACACAAATTTGAATATCTCCCAGATGATAAATCAGAGGCTAAATCAGAGGTCTTCAACGTTTTTCAAGCCAAGGTCCCCCAAACTGATGGCGAGGTGGAGCAGGGACCCCCTACGGAGTTTGGTCCACCATCTTTTATTTTTGAGCTTCACGCTCTTTAGACGTGAGCATAAAGGCGATCTGATTGGCTGGTGCCTGCGCTGTCATATTCGCATGGAAGGAGCAGTGAGTGAACCGGTGCCCAGCTTGAGAGCTGCTGTGGGAAGCTAAGTGTGTGTGTTGCGGACTGACAGATAACGTCTTCTCCATCAATTTATCCGCTCGCGTCAATATGTTGAATTCATGTTAATGTGTATTTAAAGATAAATAAAATTCCGATTCTGAAGACATTTACGTTTGTGGGGGGAAAAAATTGTCTTATCAACCAAAATTTCGCAACCCCCCCTGCAGTACCTTCGCGGACCCCCTGTTGAAGACCTCTGGGCTAAATGAACAAAAAGCCAATGAGAAGTGAACCATTCCAGGGCTTTGCTGATGAGAATGAGATGGGTAGTCGGGGGGTTTGCGATTGGCTGTTGTGGCACCAGCAGCTAGGGTCACCGCGGTGGGGGCGGGGGGTTCAGAGGGCATGGTGGACACGTGCCCTCTTCTTACCTGTCTCCAAACCAGGAACGCGGGTGGTGTTAAACATCGGCTCCCATTGAGCCGAACACAGAGGAACCTTGTTCGCCAGCAAGTAAATCTAACGCAGCGTCCGGCGCAGCAAAGGGACAAAACAGTAGAACAGAGGCAACCAAAATGTGAGTGTGTAACCGAGAGAGCTCATGCATTGCTGTTTGTATAGTGCATACAATTGGTCTATGCAAGAGGTCTACTTGTTGGTAAAGGAAAATTACTGAGGGAGGAGCGGGAGGAGAGGACACTGATGTGTGCTACTACCATCATTAGCAATCATTATAGCTGTACATGCATCAAAAACAGGAAAAAATCATAGTGATTGGCATATTCAAAAAAGTCAGTTAGTCACAGTGACCTGGGATGTTAAGATACATCTACATTATCATTGGTGAGAGAACAAGCTAACTTTAAGACCACACAAGAAAGGGTTGGGAAAGATACAGCACTTTGGTGGTAGAGTTGAGACGAAACAAGCTATAAATCAATGAATAAGAAATGTGAAAGTCAAACAGGGAGGAAAGGGCTCTCTACTCACTGGTTTGATCTGGGCTCGGTCCAGTTTTCTCCTGTAGAGCATGATGGCATGGATGGCGTTCCCTGCTCGGGCAGCCTGGATAGAGGTGGGGAACACGTACAGGAAATCCTGGGGGACAAAAAAGGAGATTTATAATAGGGTATGAATAAATAAATAGCATCCTGCAGCCTGCTAAGGACACAAGATGACTGCAAACTGAAGAGCAGCGTGAATAAAATGTTCTTTTGTGATTCATAGATTCTTTGTTGTCATTGTGGTTGAGGACTGTCCCCTGCCGAGGTCAATGGGTCTGTGATCGTAAATGTGACCGAGATTCAGAAGGAACGAACCTGCCCTCTGGTAAAAGAGACAATGCAATACAGTGATGCAGCTTTGCCCTCTGAGACACAGATGAACAGGGTTGTGCTGCCAATTGAGTGTGTGTGTACCGTACACAGAAAAACATTTGACACCCAACTTTGCATATCCATCACACACACAATGTTTGACAAGTGCTAACGCAAACTAATTTTTGGAAAGTTCAGTTTTAAGAAGCTACAACCATAGGATTTAGGTGCGGTCAACCTCTCTTTCGGATAAACTTTTCTTACTTAATAGACATATTTGTTTGTCCATATGTCCGGCTAAGTGTTACAATTTTGTCCAAGCCGTGTGCGGCAGGGCCGTCATATGCCGTAAACATTTCTCAAGAGCTCATTTTACTTTACGTCACTTGCAATATTGCACATCAATCTCATAGAGTGCCAGGAAGTGACATAGTTACACTGCAGCTCTAGCTGATGTTTGATTATAGTTTGTCTACACCTCACCACGCATCACAGCTTTTGGGGTCACACTTGGAGAGAATGCATCATGTTTTACGTGGAGAGCCTTATGCTTTACAAAAAAAAAGGCTGAGCGGTTGTTTGCTGACAGATAATCAAGTAGAGAGGACTCACCATGGCATAATAGTTGCTGTTGACCATGATGGGCCCACGGCCTCGAAGGTAAATATACTCTTCCCACCAATCACTGACCTGTGTGAGAAAGGGGGTTACATTTATTAACATGCCGTTTTTCAGATTAACAAACAGGTCTGTAGGAGGAGTAGAGGAGAGCAAAAGGGAGAGGAACTATGTGACTCACATAGTTGGAGGCCCACCAGGACTTGAGTTTGAGGTACCACTGCAGTCTGGGTCCTAGATTCTTCTCAAAGTCTTTGGTCAAGCCCTCCATGCGCTGGTACCGCTCGTCCTCCATCAGTGGACGCACTGACTCCAGGTACTGGTAACCCAGCAGTGAGTGAAGCAAAGGGTTGACAGTTTTAAACAAGGAGAGAGAGCCGATGGGTCAGAGTAACGTTCTCTATTTTTTTCCCCCTTCTGACAGGAAAGAAAGTTTTTTTTAGGGCCTCTGCCATAATCCTCTAAACCAGGGGGTCAAACGTTCGATCACCTGGCACTAGGGGAAGAAAAAAATCATGCCGCATGCCGTCCCCTGAGGGAGCGAACAAAAAACTTGGTAGGTCTAATTAGCGATCATCACTTAATAACGGACACATTTTACGTCATTCAAAAGCGACCCTGGCCAAATTCTATCCGTGCACATCATCAGTCGATTAGACGATCGATTTGTTTGGCACGGACGCTACGCAGCTCTGTTGATCCGTTGCTCGTTGACTTTCATAAAATTGCAATATTTGGTTCCATTCCAATTATTAGGACCATTATAACCAATAAGGAATGTGCACACAGCACTTCAGAGCTGAAGTGACAGTTGCAACTTACCCTTTTGCAGGTGTCCTTGATGGAAGGAACAGGGAGTCTCGGCAGGGAATTCTGGAAACTGTAGAGCATTGGCTTCCTGCCAGAGAACACCTTCACCAATACCTGGAAAAGAAGCACAGATAAAAAAGGGGAGGGAGTGGGAATGCAGAGTTACACATTGGGTTTTAATCTGAAAATGTAACAGGTGGGTTGAAATAAAAAGGGTTAGAACTTTCAGTCTTTCAATTGTTTCTTTGAGCCAACAGTCACTTGAATTTGGAATTTAACTATATAAAATAACTTCTATAGTCTGGGTATTTTAAGGCCTATGCAAAAAGGAAATAAAATGCCACCTGGTGAAATTCTGCCTTGACATTCCACCAGAAAGAACAGTGTCCAATACACACGCTTTATAAAGTGAATTTAAAAGATCTTTTAACTTTTAATTGTGATTAATCTAGATTAATGCATTACAAAATGTGAGATTAATTAGTTTTAATCTTCCCTGCAGTGAACGGAACAGAGGAGCCCAGTCATGGTCTCACCATCCACAGACGAGTGGACCAGGCCACAGAGCCGTGGCTGGTGTACATCCAGCCGTGCCACGACAACAGGGACTTTAGGACACTCCTCATAATCATGATTATGGAGACCCACAGGCCTGTGCCCACCAGAACACCTCCAACTATCTTCTGGCTGTCAGTGGACATGTATCGACTGTGGACAGAGAATAAGAGGGGGGAGGAGAGGTGACGTGGGGTCAGATTGATCCAAGAGAGAGCACTGTAATAACACTATGGACAAATTAGACAATGAATGTCCTGTAATCAAAGGTCACGTAACCTCATGACTGATGAACAGTGCATGTTACTTACTTATGAAAGGCATTAACAGTTTACGTGGATAGTGTGTGCATAATATCCCTAAATACGAGGCGTGGTGGATAGTTAGCAGTTTATAATCGGTGAGTACACCAGAACTTTCTTTTGATCATGACAATAAAATGATATTGTGATCATGATATCATAAGCCCTACCTGATGGGCATGTGTTGACCCAGCTTGGAAATCAAGCCCAGAGAGGGATCCAGCTGTTGATACTTATTGTAGGACATGTAGGACACAACCACTACCATGAACCCACCAGGGCTGCCTGGGTACACACCGGTCATCACCCCATTCTGTGGAAAGGTAAACCAAAGCAAATGTCAGGGTCAACAAGCTAATAATCTATAAAGACTATGTTTTTTTGTTTTTTACAACAAGTGATTCATTACCACAGTGTTTACAGCCTTGATAACCCATGAGAGTAATCATTCGTAGTTATAAACAAAAGGGAAAATGCTGTCTTTCTGGGTTTGAGTGACTCGGCGTGACAGTGTGTAAACAGTAAACTAGGCCGAAGGTTAGAACGCAAAGAATAGACATGAAGGTCATAGACACTTTTGTCTGTTTCTTTAACCGTCAGTGACTTTCCAGTGTAGCGAATAAACCCATTTCAGTAGGCCAGTAACAGTAAATCAGTCAGACATAAAAAAAAGAGGAAAGAGACTGCACATAGTGCACAGAAACCCAGTGGACTTTGCTCTCCCATATGTCCAACGACGCTCACCTTGAAGCGAATGAACCTTTTCTTCCAGGAGTGGAGGCCAGAGAGGTAGATCTGGCGCAGCGCCTCGTGGCACAGCTGGAGGTCGATGCCATCGGGGGAGACGGTGAACTGAAAGGCCACCGCCTGGTGAGCTTCTGCCATGTTGGCTGCTTCCGAACAGGGTCACTGAGGGAGAGGAGAGAGACGGATGACACAAGTTAGTGAACAATACAATACAATACAGCATAGTACGATATCCTCTCACTCATATGGATGGCATTACCATCTTGTACATCACGACATGAGTACTGACTGACAACAAACAACACGGTACAATTACTACATCCCAATATCTGGATGAGACTTTAAATATCGTCGTCAGGCAAATATTACAACAATCTCTGATATTGACCAGCTCCTGTCAGTTACTTGAAGTCAGAAGGCAATATTCCTCAACTGCAGTTTGCCAACCGCACTGCAGGTTGCCTAATTTACGGGATTTAAACCAGCTCTTTGTGGAAAGGAAGAGCGTACTATTATTGGCTCTAAAGCAACAAAGACGTATGGTTAACCTCGAGTTGGATGCATAACACTCGGCTTAAAAGGACAAAAGGTGTGTAGGTTGAGATGCAAACCTGCTGCAGCCCTAGAGGTATCAAGTGTCCACCAATGAAGTTCGGAGTCAAATTTCTTAGTTACAGTAGCCAGTATTGTAGTCGGCAAACAACCGTTTTGAGTCTCTGTATCATCTTGGTCTTGTTTGCTAAATATAGTTGGTCTCAATACAATCTCAGATAAATAGGTAATAATTGGACTATGGCTGAGAAAGTAATTTGTTGCCATGTGAGCGAGCGCACAAAACACAAAAGCAGTTGTAAGAAACATAACTGAAAACAGAAAAATGGGATGTTTTAAGTAGTACACAGTTTCCCAAACGAACATTTGTGCTGCATTGTAAATGCTTAGTAACGATAATAACTATTAGCATTTTAATGATTACAAGAGCGGGATACCCTTTATGAATCAACAAGATATTTAGTTAATAAATAAACTAAACTGCATGCAAAGGACACCAGGTAGTTAGTAATTCATTACTAAACTTTACAACCAAAGAGCAGACACAGTAAAAACATTTTATTCCAAACTACAAGCGCTTATTATTTTATATTTGCAAATTTTAAGTGAGCGATTACCGGTTTAAAATGTTATCATGATATGGTAAGGGAGGGAGTGACAAAGGTCAGCTTACTGGGAACCGAGTTTAAATCTGCAGAGGTGACATCTTCGTTCTTTATCATCATCCAAGACCTTGAACAGTGCGAGAGATCTTAGCACACATTCTTCTTAAAAAGGGAACTCAGGTAAATTACCTTGAAAACAAAACAAAACAACAAAAACAAAAAAGCGGGGAGACGGGGTCTGGTCTCCAACTCATATCCAATAATGTGTTTCTTATATTTTAATTGTATATGTTTTTTGATATTATGATTCAATCAGTGTTTTTTGTGTTATGGGATTGTGAATCTGAGCTGGTAGCCATATATGTAACACATGTCAGATGAATCGCTTACGCACACCCAGATCAATACAGTATAGAGGATATATTGATGAGCCTAGGACAAGCTGCATACAATTGTATAACTGCGTTTCCAAGTATTGAGAAGCCTTTTAAACCTTCAAAATAACCAACATTTAGCATTATTTCTGGAGAAAGACCTGATTTTTTTAAGTTGCCTTCAATGGCTGTCGAAAATTTAAAAGACAGATGATCATTCATTTAATGTAACGTAAAATGCCAAACAAAAAGTAGGAAAATGTCAAATATGACAGTTGTCAAATCCGTCATGAAACGTTAGAATTGCCATCGCATGCGAATACTGTTCGCTTTCCTTTTCGGCGAGACTGCTATCAGCGTGTTTCCATCCAAAACAAGAGCATTGTGGAAACCGTACGCGTCTCCGTTTGTGCTTTTTCAAACCCTCGGAAGGAGCACAGTGAACGCAGCACCCGTCAGCGGCAGCCAATCCCCTCCCCCCGCAGCTTCCCAACGTCACATGACCAGCCCCGTGCTGCAGGAACTGGGGGAAAGGTCGCAGCGCTGCGCGGATACCTGGTGAAGCTGCCAGCATTGGTCCTCACAAACCCTCCCATCTCCCCCCGCTGCTGTCACTGCGAAGACAGCGGAAACATGTCATTTCTTTGCAATATCTTGGCTTTTGAGTTTGAGCCATTTCTGTACAATATAAGTTGAAGATTACGAAGCCTTCGGGGGTTTAATAATTTGTAATCCTCCCGGTTTTAGTGTATTATGACTATGGCTGCAAACGCCACACATCGACGCCATAAAGGGTGTTGCCAGTTGTGATTATGAAACACTTCACCATCACACAAAATGCACTTCAAGGTAACTTTCATTTAGGTGTTTTATGAGGTATCCCGCCCACGTGGTCCGGAGGTGGGCTTAATATGCACCCTATACAATAGTTTATTTAAAGCTAAATAACCCGCGTTTACAGCCAACATCCAAATACACCAGGTGTGATGTCTCTGATTTTATGATGCTCTTACAAAAAACAAAAACAAACAAAAAGGGAGCCATGACCAATCAGATGAAACTGACCTTCACTAGCATGTGTCCTTCTCTTTACTATTACACATTCTGACCACTTGCTATATCCCACATCCTATATTAGTATTGGATACAAAAACACATGCAAGTGTATTGTAAACGACAGCTGACAGAAAGCGTACTTGTCAGTAGAAGCCATCATCCTCACAACCATGAATCGACGTCACGTGCGGGCGCACCGCCGCAGGAACGAAGTTAACAGCGAAAGACCGAGAAAGCCGCCCGGTTCTGTTAATGCGGCGCTGTGGGAATCTCCCGTAGTCACGTAAACACCGCACGGCTTTAAGCACGGGGCGGACGAGGAAACGAAACGAACTGACACGGACGCGGAATGCGGGGACATTAGGACGACAGTTGCCAACGGGTTTCTTGTTCAGCTCGTCGACCTGGAAAACACTTTTTTTTTTAATACAGCAGCCATCTTTGCTTAGCTTTCTCCCCCAAAACTGCCGAGTAACAGCCTGCGAAACGCAGAGGGGGGGGGGGGGGGAGAAAAAAGGGGACGTATCACTCACCAACCCTTCCAACTAGTCTGAGAGAACTCTCTGTTCCGAGGACGATGTGTCGCTGGCGACGGGGACTGCTAGAACCTCCGCATGAATGAGAGCACCGACTCGTACACACACAGCCTGCCCCCTTCTTCTTTCCCTTTCTTTCAGTCGAGTGGCGCACAGAACGCGGCCCGGGAGAAACAGCGCCCCCCTCATGAGGCCGCTCGCGGTACTTCATGTTTCTGTTCTCCTGTCGAACGAGGTTTTGCGCGAGGGCTGGACATGACGTCACGGATACCAGTACACACGTTGGTCCATGTACTCCTGACCACTGAACCGTGGGCATAACATTGACTCTTTACACAAAGCCGATGAAGTCCAATTTTGTGTGAGCCGTGTGGACAAAATGCTCTATCTCGTTTTTAAATCTCAACTACGTTTAAGGTGTAAAATAGCACCGTATGTGGGAGTACGAGTACAAGACGTAATTTCAACGTTGAAATATGGTTGAAATCGGGTTGAAATGAGGTCATTTCAACGTCTTTTCAACCGGCTAAAATGGGATAAAACATCAACGTGCGAGAAAACGTCAATTTGTTGATAAATGTGTCATGATGTAACGTAAGGTTGAAAGATAGACGATATTAACGTTAAGATTTTCATAATAATTAATGAACTGGTCGGCGAAATTTGGTCTACGCGAAGACGTAATTTCAACGTATTTAATATTTCACTTAAAACTTCATAAATATGAAACTACGGAATGCGTGCTGTTAATAAGATGCGTTTAAGACATAATAATGCGGGCAGGTTCAAACATTACTTGTAAACACGTAACTCCGCTCACATCTGTAACGCGCATGCGCGAGTTCTTAGACGCCTGCAGAGCTCCGAGCGGACGCAGCACGAGGCGAAGTTACGGCAGCAGAGGGACATGAACGGGCTGATAGAACCACGACTACCGGCTCCACTGCTCTGTAAGTACGCGAGTGTTTGGATGAAGCACACATGGAACTATAACCGGGTGTTTTACTTCTGCTGCCCACCCGATACGGGAAAGACGGCCCTTTTTGTTAAGCTAGTTAGCGTTAGCGCAGGTAGTTTGCTAGTTAGCATGCTAGCTTGGAGCATGCTAGCGTGCAGCATGATGACCTGGACCAAAAGTAAACATCCCAGAATATTTTTCGTGTGTTTGGTGTTGCTAATGCGTTAGCTTGTTGCTGTACCCATAAATGTTATTGCATTTCACATTGAAGATACGTTTGTAAAGCAATGGGGGCTAAATACAGATTGCAAGGGTGAAGGGCTGAATTCAACAAGTTGTGCTCTGTAAACAAGAGGGACAACACATTGTAAGTTACTGCGTGCTTAAAACATGATACTGTGTAATATACCTGGAAAGGTTACTCCAGAAATGCCATAAGTTGCAGAAGAATTGTTATCTTGTTTATAATGTAATAAGTAAACAATCTATAAATGAGGGTTCTAACACACCTGCTGCTGTTATAATTAGTTTATTACTGTCATCATAAACCCAAATGACCAACTTTGCCTTTGCCAAACACAGAATTGTTGTTTCTGCACTTTTAATTCCATAGTTTATTTCCCTGAAATATATATTTTATTTCTGTATTGTTTTTAATTAGAAAAAGTGTTGTTATATGTATAGTGTTATATTTATAATAAATACAAATGAATAAAATAATGTGTTTGTCCTTGTTAAGGGCTGTTAACAAGACAACTGTGACTAAGTATGTAACTTGTAGGTTTCCAGTGAGCAATTCAGACCACATTTCAACCAGCGAGCATTTCAACGTTGAAAAAACGTTTAAAAGACGTCTATGGCCCGACGTTGAAAACACGTTGCAAAATGGTTTAAAAGTTGTGTCAACGTCTATTCGTAGACGTTGAAAAGACGTTCGCGTATAGACCCGTTTTCAACGTGATTTATAATATCGGTGGTAAACTTACAAATGAGGACGTAGTTTCTTTTTAAACCTCTAAAATAATGATATAGCACACAATAGAGGACGAACTTACCGTATTAAAAATCACGTTGAAATGTGGTCTAAACATAGACGTCTTTTCAACGTCTACAAATAGAAGTTGAAACAACATTCACTTTTAAACCATTTTGCAACGTCTTTTCAACGTCGGGCATAGACGTCTTTTAAACGTCTTTTCAACCAAAAAATGCTCACTGGGCAGAAGTTCCATATTTTTTTAACCAGATTCTGTTCTTCATCACGTGCATCTTCAACATCCTCTGCTCGCATTAAAGCTCATGCAGAAAAGGCTGCTCTCATGGAACGGGTCGCTGCTCTGCAGAAAATGCATGACCCTGAGGCGCAGGAAGAACAACTGAAAAGGAAGAAAGAACAACTGGAACTAGAGACTGAACTGGCAGTAACCAATGCAAAAATCAATGTATTTCAACCAAGAAATAGCTCAAGAGTGTCAGACGGGATGAACTCTTATTTGGAAAAAGGAACTGTTGAAAGGAAAAGGTCAGTCAAAGAGAATCCACATGCAAACACCTATTTTCCCGATCAAGTGCAACAAAGACTGAATGTGCGGACGGGAACAGAATCTTCTTCCCAGCAACAGGTTGTTCAGCCAAAGGAAAGCGCTGATGGACCATCTGTTAGAGCTCAGGATATGACTCCTCTAACACAACCTGGATATAATGATCATAATCAAGGTGATATCTATCACATCATTCAGAAGCAAAGTGACATAACCACTCTTCTAGCTCAACACAATCTCTCTTCTACTTTACCACCAAGAGACATTCCCGTTTATGATGGTGATCCCTTGCAATATGGAGTTTTCATCAGGGCATTCGAGAGAGGAGTGGAAAGAAAGACTGATGACTACAGTGACTGCCTGCATTTCCTAGAGCAATATACCAGAGGGTATCCAAAGGATTTAGTCCACAGCTGTCAACATTTGTCTTCGGCTGAGGACTATAAAAGAGCAAAAGAGCTGCTTAACGAACATTTTGGTAGCGAACATAAGATTGCTACAGCATACATGGACAAAGCATTTGCCTGGCCAGCGATCAAGCCAGAGGACGTGAAAGCATTGCAAGCGTTTTCATTATTTCTGAGAGGTTGTTGCAATGCAATGGAACAGCTCACCTATATGGAGGAGTTGAACGTCTCTTCCAGTATGAAGACCATTCTTCTGAAACTGCCTTACAAGCTCAGAGACAAGTGGAGGAATAGGGCATGTCAGTAGTAATAAAGTAATAAATAAAGCAGCTTTTGGGGGGTATGAGGGGGGGGGCGTGTAGACGCGCAAGGGGGCGTGTACAGGAAGTGGGCGTAACCGCCGCCATTTTGCGGTCATGCCCGGAAATCCGTCATTTTACGAGTGGAAACGGAAATACGTCATTTTGGGGCGTGATTTGTAGGGGGGCGTGCACTGTTTCAGCATAAATACGCCATTTTGACGATGACGTGCAGGGTTTTGTTTGGAAATTCGCCATTTCAGGGTGTGTTTTATGCGATGGACGTTAGTTTTGACCGGAAACACGTCACTGTAGGAGGGGTTTCATCATATATATAGATGTGTTATTCGCCTCCACCACAAACGCACTCATTTTGAGTGTGTGACGCCGTCACTATCTAGTGTTAACGAATACCTACTGGCGCAAGACGTGTACACATTACACGCCAAGGCAGCCGTACATTTCCCGAGGAATAGGGTTTTGGTCAGCGGCATTGACAAACAGTTTCAGGCTGATCTAGTTGATATGGGTGAATATGCTGAGGAAAATGATACTGTGCGGTATTTGCTGACGTGTATCGATGTATTTTCCAAATATGCGTGGGTTAGATGTCTTTCTAACAAATCTGGCCTCACAGTCACAAAAGCCTTTAAAGACATTCTGAGTGACGGACGCATACCTGTGAAACTTCAAACAGATGAAGGTACAGAGTTTTATAACAAAGACTTTCAGCGGTTAATGTCACAGTATAAAATTACGCATTTTTCAACATCGAATGAGACCAAGGCCAGCGTGGTGGAGCGCTTTAACAGGACTTTTAAAACCCGCATGTGGAGATATTTAACATCCGTTAATTCTTGAAGACATGTGGATGTAGTACAGGAGCTTGTCGAGGTCTATAATAACTCACACCACAGGTCCATAAAGATGCAGCCATCAACGGTCAATAAAGACAATGAGAAGACGGTCTTCATATAACTGTACAAGTTGTACCCTCAGAAGACAGTATGCTTTAAATTTAACAAGGGCGACACCGTGAGAATATCAAAACTCCGCGGTGGGTTTAGGAAGGGTTATAAACAAACATTCACCGATGAGCATTTTACAATATCAAGGTGTATAGCCAGAGATCCTCCGGTTTATAAACTAACTGATTGTGCAGGGGAATTGTTGAAAGGAACGTTTTACGAACCGGAGTTACAAAAAGTAATTATAGGTAAAAACAAGGTGTTTAAAATAGAAAAAATTATGGATAGAAAAATCTCCAGAGGCAAGAAGCAGGTCTTCGTGAAATGGTTGGGGTGTCCCGAGAAGTTTAACGCCTGGGTCTCAGAAAAAGACATAACGGATGCTTGATAAAAGACACATGCCTGCATCTTGAGAGTTCACTCTTAAACCGTCCACCATAGCACACGGCACGATGACCCAGAATGGTTTTTATGTTACACTACCTAGTAACGCGTCGGCTCAGGTTTATCCTAAAAATCAGATATGGAACTACAGGACAAAATTAGCCAAGGCCATTGTTCTGAGCGAACCACATGAGGTGGGGTTGGTAGAATTCCAGTATCCGAGAGTGTGGTACAGTTTTCCGAAAACAGATGCGGTTGTAAAAGTGTACAATGGTAAAAACAGGGTTAAATCAGCCTTTACTGTAGACACTGGGGTTTATGAGTCTATACAGGCTATTGTTAAAGCGTTTAATGAGCGAATCAGCATTAACACGCAGCTGGAGGGGGTATCTATGCATTATAGTAGTGTTAAAAACCGCGTATACCTTCTGGGGTCAACAGAGGATTCAACTATAACCTTTGTAGGACGGCTCGCGACAATATTGGGTTTTAAAGATGGGGAGGCTTTTCCCCTACCGACTACTGACAGATCCTATACCACCCCCTATCCCGCCGATATACACGCAGGTTGTTACACATTATAC